TTGAAAAAAAATTGTCTAGATAAGTTTCTCCCCCATTATCGTAATCACCGTTCGCATCTCCTGCGCTGAAATTCTCTCCATCTCTCTGTTTTGACCTGTTTTCAGGAATTGGCACCACAGATGTTTGCAGTTCACACGAATCTTTTTCATCCGTTTCACAATCAAGGATTTCATATATCGGCAAAGTATAATCTATCAATAGTTCTCCGGTTTCTTCGACAGTATTTGAGTCATATGCAATAATGTCATTTCCATTTTCTCCATTTGGAGAAGTGCAGATACCATCGGTCCTATTGTTTTGATGATCAACATTTTTAAGACCTTGCAGTATCATGGACAAATGTGATGAAAGGACAATTGGTCGATCCTTGTTTCGGAGACTTCCAACAATAATCGGTCCTTTAATTTTCCCCACGTTGTCCTGCACACGATCTATATTCATCACCACTGAAAGTTCTGATAAATTGCTACAGGGATCGAATGTATTCAGATAGAAAATTCGATTCAAAATGGCAAATTTTGTTTCATTCTTTGATTTTTTGAAAACATCTTTTTGAAGTTGAAGAACAGTCAATGTTTTTTCCTCTTTTGATCTCACACATATATTGTACCATTGTCCATCAAAAGAGATGACTGGAACATAAAGTCCTTTCTTTTTGCATTCGAGCAATACTGAGTCCAGCATTTTTCTCATTACATCTGTTTTCATGCTGTATCCCTTTAATGCATACGCCACCGGTATCGAGTGCTGTATTTCCTTTTTAGCAATCCTATCCATGTCACTCAGCAAAAAAACCAAAACTTCACTCGCTTTCTGTCTCTGAAGCTGATATGCTGTTTCAATTACTGTTTTACTTTTCTTTAGGGTGTCCAATACATCATCAAGTTTTAGACGTTTGGAAAGGCCATCAGATCTGTGATGAAACATGTGACCATCTGCAATTTGATAATTTTTCTCATGTGTGCACTTCACAGCTTGTAATGATGGTACTTCAGCGACAAAACGTACACCACTCTGTATGTAATCTTTCATTCTCTGACGCAGACTGTTTACTCGAGGGTGCAATTTTGTGGGAAGCTTTTGATTTTCACCGTAGGTATCTCGAAGTATCTCGCAGATCATCTCCCATAAGGTGTCATCGAATGTTGCTTCTAAAACAGATGTGCTTTCATGGGAAAACGAAAGAAAAAGTAATTTATCTGTTTTCAAGGAAGCCATTTCACACATAATTTGGGGAACATAACGCAAAGGAATGCTGTAATTAACAGGGGTGGTGAAAACCTTTCCAGGAAATGGGCATTTGATTTCTATGCCAAGTATCGGCCGATTGGATTCATCCCGTAAACTTCCATCTGGCGAAACTACTACCGATGATGTACCAACGTTCATCTTGTAACATCCTTCTTCTACGTAAAGCAAGTTTTCATAAAAAATAGGAAGAATCTTTCCAACAAGAGTAGCGATACAGTTAATTTCATTTTTTGTACCATATTCCATCTTGTCTTGAACATCCTTAGATAGAACTGTTGTTTCTGTATCCTTTTCAAAAATCCTTCTGAAGTGAGCTTGTTGTTGTTTTAAAGTATCTAGTCCTATTGCTGAAAAGCAAGTACTACCTGTGACATGAGCCTTGTCTCGAATTTCTGTCCATTCATGTGTCCTTTGTTTAACCTTTGATGTATCTACTACATCCATTGATTTCTTAACATTTGTGTCTGAAGATATGGAATGATTTTGCAAACAAACGTAGTTCTCTTGATGGTCAAGGTAAGCAAAGGATCCATCTAAGTATAAATGTTTAACATCGTTTACATCTGCAACTACCCTTCCAAGGTTGTCTACACATGCAAGTGAGTCGTGAATGCAGGAAGCTATCTCAAACATGCTTGTTTTTACTGAACTTATGGCATAGGCAAACTTTGAATTTCTCCAATCACCACTCACTTGTTTCCGAAATTTGTCATGCGCAAGTTGTTTTCGTACTTTCAATATTCTCAACTCCTTTATTCTGTTACTGATTAATTGAATAATATTCAAACAGTGGACCCTAATTGCTTCTCTGAATTTGGTAGGAATGAATTGTTTATTTTGATCTTGGTCTATGTTGTTGACAAAGTCACTCGCTTTCTGTATTTGTGAAATCTCATCATTAAAACGACTTTGATTTGCGGCAAGTGTTGGATGCTCTTCATTTCCCCAAAGATCTATATCCCCACATTTAGAAGATAATGAAGAGTTTATTCTTTTTCCATCCACACATAACTTAAATGAATTAACTTTTACTAGATCTTGATCACCTATTGCCTCTATCATCGTGGGTAGTATCCCTGGTTTTAAAACCTCCTCAGATGTTTGATGTTTTAGTGAATCCAAAATATTACGTGATGGTACGACAAAATTAATTTCCGATTGTTGTGGTCTACATTGTCCCCTTTCAGAATACCCATTGTATATATTTCCATTATTTTTTAACCCTGACATGAAACGAAGAAATTTACCCTTAAATAATTTTAGACCGGTTCTCCAAAAACGTTTAACTATATCGCTGTATCTCATGAAGGAAGAATTTTCTATAGAATACCACTGGACCACATCTCCAAATAATCTCCAGGCTATATTGTCTAGGGGAAATGACCCTGTTGATACTAAACTGATAAATTTAAGGAAAGTGTCGAGCTGATTAGCGGCTCTTAAATTGGAAAAAACTAAAGGAAGGATGGAAATGATGTCTTCGATATCATGATCACAATCCACAGTATCCGAGAATTCCGTTGTACATTGTTGATTGTCATGTAGACTATCGTTTATACAATCACATGTTATAGAGGCATCGTCAGATTGGAGGGGGTTTCTGCAAACTCGTTTTGGAGAACTTGGTCCGTTGGTTAAGTCATCAGACTGTAAACTTTGAACTGAAATTTTTTTCGAGACATGATTTGGAATAATAAATTTGCCTTGGCGTTTTATTTCATTTGGAATGATTTTGAAATTCTGTGTTCTTGTTGTTTGTGTTTTGTCATTTATTTCTTGTTCTTTGTATCTGAGATATTCATTAGGGTGTCTTGTGATGTTGTGATCAATGATTTCGTTGAAATTTCTTGTCTGAAAGTGGCAGTAGTAGCACACAAAAAGAAGGTATGGAAGCATTGTATCATTCCTCGATTACTGAAAGAAGAAACAGGATTAATCCTAGCATTTTCCAATCAAGAACGCACCTAATTTATGAACGACTCATACAATGAAAATACTGTCCCGCACAACGACACAAACAGTAAATATTGAACGACGGATACAGTGATATTTTGACTGAAGATGTAAAATTTAGGATAATCTAATCACAAGCAGTGATTAATTACGTTTTAATACTTAAGTACTTATATTTCTCATTGTTTAGTACAATTAATACCGAATATGGGATAAATTTCAAAGCCATAATACATCTTTTAAAGTCTTTGTACCACTGCGTTTTGCAACATATTCAAAAGCCAAGCTGTGTGTTGAGAGAATTTTGTTTCCAGGGCAATCTCTGATCATATATCTATGTGGCATACTATTAAAAGCAGTTAAATACTTACTTGTCTTTGAATTATTGTCGGTTTATTTTCATATTTTCAGGACTGCATCATGTTGTCAATTGAAAAACGCAAGAACTTCCTTTTTTTAGTATGTGGGTTAGACACTGTGTGGTCGATGCAATAACCTTGTCAACAAATACAATCTATCATTAAGGTCAAACGCAACATAGTTTGAACTTTATTTGGTTCTTCCGTAGAGTTGAAGTTCAACTAAATGAAGGGCCTGTGTGCAATAACTTTAATGTCTATATATGGATTTGTACACCTCTTCTAAAACAAATTTTGATGAAAAAAAAATTAATGTTTTGTAATTTTTGTACTGTTTTCTTCATTAATGCAAAAATTATCATATTTCAAAACCCCTGGTAACACATGCTGATTTTTTGTCTAAGAACGTGTAATGGTATTATAAGTTTAAATTTAGAATATCTTGAAAAATCATCAGTAGGTAAGGTACCTTGCGTATGTCCTTATTAGCATTTTTCATACTGTTTGTTAGGCCATTATTTACACACTGCATTGCCGTTGGTTTTTCTCGTTATTTCCCGATCATGACAAAGAGCACACGGAGGGTGTGACAGGTTGGCAGTGGATGATCACTCGATTCTCTATGGCACTTCATCCCACCTCTGATAAGAGGTCCGTACTTGTAACGTGTAAACGTATTGCTTGCTCCTGATCTGTATTCTTTAAGGGGGTCTGATTCGTCGCAAACGCACGACCCTCTTCCATTCTAGCCGATCTAGGAGAGAGATGCAGACTCCAAACCGTGGCTATATAAAGTTAAGTAGCTGATATGGGCCGCGGGGACCTGACAAATTTTTCAAAGTCAGATGATTTATTTCCATGTTTGTGAATGACAGATTATTTATTTCCAATAAGGTCATAGACGGATTACTTGTTTTCTTCTACACTGAAAATATATAGTCTGACAAGCAAAAAAGAAGAAAAAAAACTTTGAAACATATTTTCGCGGACAGATCCCCCTTCAGAATCAAACAGCCGTCTGAGCTTGTATACTGTTCTTTGTCTCCATATATATCATTTTAAACTTTTGAAAATTGGCTTGGGCGTATGCTGCATAATTCACTTCAATAAATGCGAACGATGATTGAAGTGAATTATGACGTCACTTTGGCGCGATTTCTTCCGCTTGAACTCGTGTATCAGAAAACGGCATTCTTCAAAAATTATTTTCAAATTGATTTAGAATGAGATGAAAAAGTTCTAGATCTATATATTTTCTTGTGCGAACAAGTAACGGAATATTTTCACTTTGTGACGTGAGATGGGGCATTCTTCCAATGGTTGTTGTTGTTTGTTCTTTAACATGCCATGCCGATTGCAACGTGACTTATTTTTATCTCAATCAACTAACCAATGAAAATTGAGTATTATAAAGCGTTCGGCCATCTTCTTCTAAAAATAGCTCACCCTCACGTTAAGATGGGCATGTTAATGGCGTACAGATCAATTGTGTTCAATATTTTTGATGGTAAATTTAAAGCAATAATTTAATACGATGTGATGTGTTAAGTGGAAGATTGTAACAATAATCAAGATGTCGAAGAGTGGTAAGAGAAAGCATATTGTGCATTGGTTTCGAAAAGGACTTCGCTTACATGACAATCCAGCGCTTCGCGAGGCGCTGAAAGGGGCCTCAACCTATCGCTGTGTTTACATACTAGACCCATGGTTTGCAGGCTCCTCGCAGGTTGGAATTAACAAATGGAGGTTTGTATTCGGGCTTTTGTAATGGTCATATGAGTAAACACTGACATTGCTATGCAGTTATTCCATGTATTCATGTGTGTCGGATTATGTAATTAGAAAAGCCATGCAATTAGGTCATCAAAATCTCAGTCTGATTAAAATCAAACCTTCCAGTAGCTGCTTTATTTTGATGGTGGTGACCTTGAGGGTTTGATTTTAACCAGACTCGATGGGATTTCGTTGACCTAATCTTAGACGATTAGATGTAACATTAATAATTACCATTGTCATGATTGTGAATGCCAGGCACATGGAAAATAGTGCAGCACAACAAAACCATGCATAGATCATTGGCCTTATAATTCCAATTTCCACTTGTTGAAAAGCATTAATTCCTATCATTGTCTTTTCTGATTCCAACTGTCCTGTTGTCTAATGTTCTGGTTGATACTGGACCACTCTTGACCACAGCACTAATGTTTCGTATACGGGGCACCCCATTATTTCTTTTTTTACTACATGGTATCAGTAACTCATTTTCAGGAACCACATTGTATTCACGTCATGTATTCCGCAGAGACTTTAGATAGGATACAACTTCAGGTTTGGAGTAGGATAAAACCAGAGACTTAGAACGGAGTATTCCATTCCAAGGCTTCTGGTTTTATCCTTCATTTATAACCCAACTGGAAATTTGTATTGAAGTAATTATAATTTTCGAGGAATAAATGAGTAGTTTACAAAAAGAGGCTCGACCAGAGACAAGGCTAAAGCGGGGGTGCCTGAAATTGAGTTAGATATACCTTGTGGTACATCTACAGAACAAGTGCCTGTGCTCTTGACACTGGGACCTGATCGAATATATCTTGATTATTTGGTAATAAGTACCTTTCAATTCAAGCATCATCACTTGTTTCTTGTTAATGTGATGGATTTAATAACATTGTTATCCATAAGAATTCTAAGGAAATTATAAATTACGTCTCATTTTTTTTACCATTCACAGATCTATTGATTTAATAAGGTTTGCTTCACAAATTGCTAGAGAATAAGATCTTGTCATTGATATTCAAGGATAATTCAAATGTAGAACTGAGCACAATACAACACTAGTTAGAATGATCTAACTGTGTCTCGGTACAAGCCCTCACCACAGTTAGAATACGTCCCATATACTTGCAATGTAGGAAATCAGAGCGGATCTGCTCCGAAACGATTTTGAAGAATATAAAAGGATTTGCACTGGAAATATCTACCAAATTAATCAAAACGAACCTTTCTGAGATTGCTTATGCCTTTTATCCCAGAAAATAATCCATCTAAAGACGAAAATCCAATTAATTTTCTCAATGTTTTTCTCTCGCTTCAAATTTACCTGCCATGTTTACATTCGGAACTCTCTAGATTGTTCGTAGTAAATGCACTGAGTTATGGTGAGTACGAGTTATCGCCCATGTTTCTTTTGCTACATTACAAATACACGGAACGAATTCTATCGTTAAACCGGGTCTGTTGGACAATATCATTTTAACGATAGAACATTCTATCTAAATACAACACATGCAGTGGTCCAAGGTAAATGATAATTGTCCCAGGTTTGCAACCTGACCATAACAAACTTTAGCCAATATAAGATATGCAGCCATTTGTCAAATGCTCAGCTGTCAGCTTTTTGGAAAAAAAATTTGATTATCCTTCTGAATCATAAGTTAAAGAACCTTCACTGATCAGCTGCTTTGAATGCCAAGAAAGTAAATAAATTACAAGCCTAGTTTTCACCTGCATCTGGTGACATCTTGTATGTTAAAGGTGGCAATAACAAACAGTAATACATCTCAATAAAAAAAAAAAAACCTACAAACTGTGAAAACTGTGAACAGGGACCTCGGGGTGTTCTACAGGTGAGATCAGGTGCATAGGAGGGGCACCCCGTGACACCTGGTAACACCTGCTGTAACATAATTTCTCTGTAACCAAATTTAGTGGGCCCAACAATCGGTATGAAATGTCAGCCAAAAACACAACTTGGTGATTATGGAAAAAAATCAAAAGAAACAAAAAAAGAATCAATCATTTGCACATTTTTTTATCTTTCAGGTTTTTGCTGCAGTGTTTAGAAGATCTAGATACTTCTCTTCGTAAATTGAATTCCAGGTTATTTGTTTTAAGAGGACAGCCAACTGACTTGTTCCCTAAAATATTTAAGGTAAGTTTGTAACACACCACTATATACCTGACAGTAAGGTATATTATGTAGGACATTTCAATGTATTCCTCATTTGAATACCAAGTTCAGAGACTCCTATTCTTTAAGATCAGAAGACTATTACACTATTGTTTTGGTTAAAGAAAGTGCAGTCTAATTTTTATAATCCCCCATTTTTTATACCCCTCCCCATTGTAGAAGTTACAAGTTTCATTGTATATAACATGACTAAGTCTCAGGTCGTTCTCCACTTAGATCTCAATTTGTTTGTTATTGCTCACTCATTTTAGAACTTAAGCTATGATCATGGATGAAAAAAAAAAATTATTGAGTTACCTTATTCAATAAAGTACTTGTGACATGTCAATTCCCTTGAGGACAATGGTACATGTGTCAATTTAAAAAAATGAATTATCCAAGGATATAAAATATTAAGCTTAAAAGATAAACAAATAAAAAGTGATTGTGGAATCCTGATTCCAACTCATTTTGACATATGAAACATATGGAGATAACGAACTTCAACAGTATTCCATATCAAAAGTCCCATAAAACAATACAAAATAGGAGCAGAGCATACACGGACCTCCAAAACATCAGAGGTGGGATCAGATGCCATGGAAGAGTGAGCATCCCCTGCTGACTGATCACACCAGCTGTGTGCTCCTTGTCATGATCAGGAAATAATCGAAAAATCTATTGTATTCAATTTAACAAATTTCTACGTACAAAGATTGTACTGTAATTTGTTTGTTTACAGGAATGGAATATTACGACGCTTTCCTTCGAGGAAGACCCCGAGCCATTTGGAAAGGAACGAGACAGTGCCATTCAGATGTTGGCTAAAGATGCAGGAGTCGATGTCATCATAAGGACATCTCATACTCTCTATGACCTTCAAAAGTAAGTCCCTAATGTCACCATAGTCATCATGATCAAAAATAAAATCCTATTTTAAATATAGATGCTAGATGGGGAAAAAAGGAATACCAGTAATATTAGAACATCATACACATAAAGTTTGTTCGTGATTTATGTAACTATGAGGGTCCTTTGGCCCTCTTGTTATGATAATTAGCTTAGCTTAATTAATTTAAAAAATAAAGAAGAAATGGAAACAGCAATTGTTTAGAACAGAGACTAGTTAGGAATAAACATATAAATTATATATGTCATACATGGTATGTATTTTATATTCATGAATAAGCAAAACAATACACATAAATAAACGCATTATATTCTTATCCTTTTGTATTTATAGAATAATCTCGGTAAATGGAGACACCCCACCTCTAACGTACAAGCGTTTCCAGTCAGTATTGTCCAAAATGGACCCACCCAAAGAACCGGAGGAAACGATCAACACTGCTATTTTAGAGAAGACAAAAACTCCACTGTCTGAAGACCATGATGACAAATACGGGGTACCTACGTTAGAAGAATTAGGTGAGGATTCAGTGGCTAGTCTTGATAAGTATAGTAATTTCTAGTGTCAGGACTTTCTGGAATAGATGCATGTCTGAGCATGGCTCTTATCTCTGTGTTTGCACTATGTGAACTTATCAGAGTACATTTTACACCTTTACAAGTGGTAAAAAGTGAAAGATTAATTCAGTTTTTGTAAACGTATTTAACTGACAGATAATAATATACAGTTAATTCTCGATAAACCGCCACCTTTTGTAATTTAGAAATCATGGCGGTATAACGAATTTGGCGATGAATCGAATTTCCCATCTTTTTAGAAAACAAGAAGTGGAGTTACCGTTCTTAGAAATACCATTTAAGCGTTTCTATTCTTATAATAAAATGTACATGTATAAAGACATTTTTGATTGAAAATACTTCCAGTATTTTTTTATGTACAATTTCACTAAAACAAAATGTGCAGTAATGAAATAAAGACAAGTCATGTGTATTTAATATTATGTAAATCTGCACGTCTGATATTGAAAAAAAACAAGCTGGGTCGATCGTCGTGATTTATTGCCGAAAGTACGTAAAATGAATTCTTGAATAAATTCATCGTTTATGGCATCATTGTTAATGAAAAGTTCACAATTCATGCCGTATAATTATTTTTTCAGCAAACTTTGCATTAATTAAAGCAGACATCATCAAAATAATATCGTTATCCGCGCACTATAACAACAACCGTTTTCCTGGCGAAGCCGTGACTAAATGATTTTTATTAAACAAAAAACAAAATTATTATAACAGTTCATGTTAAAATTATTATTTATTTTATTCTTGTTTAATTACTAAATTGTATGTGCCTTGTCTGCCTTTGCATGCTTTACAACAGGGATAGCGTCAACTAATTAGCCGCGCTTCACTGACCGTTTGAATCTGTGGCGGTATATCGAGATAATTGACACTTAAAAATGGACGTTTGTTTTGAAAAGAGGGTGGCGGATGGCGGTATGCGAATTTGGCGTTATAAAGAGAATTTTATATAGCAGGAAAAACGTTCTTGGGAGATCATGGCGGTATTGCGAAAATGGCGATGAATCGAATGGCGATAATTCGAGAATTGACTGTATTTGTCAGTGACATTTGGTGTGATAGGATGGGCAACTTAATTTGCAGGAATGCAGTATATGTAAGGTCATTGGTCGAATTTTGACAGGGTTTGATTCAGAGAAATATGTTGTTGGAAACGCAGTATTTGATTGATCCTATTTCGACAGGGTTTGACACAGAGGGGTTAGGTCCTGCGGTGTTTTGTGGTGGAGAGGCGGAGGCTTTAACAAGGCTTGAAAGGCACCTCGAACGAAAGGTAGGGGGAAAAATCAATGTAAAGGGTCATTACTTAAAATCATATTATGTAATTTTAATCAATGACCTAGTACAATTAAAGATTTGGAGTTGCAAAAAGTTTCATTTAATCATGCTTATAGGAAAAATCATTCTAATAATAAATGAGATATTTTGACCTGATTTAGGTAAGATACAAATGTGTTTTGAACGTATTATCAGAAGCACTGTTTTCAAGCAAAGTGTTACATGTACAGGTATTAAGAGAAATGCAAATGTATTTATTATTTCCAGGCCTGGGTGGCGAGCTTTGAGCGACCTAAGATGTCCCAGCAGTCCCTGTTTCCTAGTCAAAACGTACTTAGTCCCTACCTGAGATTTGGTTGTCTGTCTGCTCGTCTGTTTTACTGGAAACTCAGAGAGTTATACAGAAAGGTACTTTCCTATTGCAAACTTAAAAGAGATCTGTGAAGCAAATGATCTCATATAAAAAAAAAATGATTAGGTCTGTAACAGGTCAGGAAGTATACATGTACACTAGCTGATGCAGAAATTCTTGAAAACATTGAGAGATACTGACAATTCATGGTTATTTTGAGTAACTTATCACATTCATCACTTGTATGATCATTATACATTGATACATTTAGAGAGTATACATTGATACTTTTAGAGAGTAATACATACTCAATTCTTATTTCTTAGAATGTTAAATTACTGGAAACATGAAACATTTACCTATTTTTAGGTGAAGAAGAGGAAGGACCCTCCGTTGTCTCTACACGGCCAGTTGTTATGGAGAGAGTTCTTCTACACGGTGGCCACAAATAATCCCAACTTTGACCGAATGAAAGATAATCCATTGTGTGTACAAATCCCCTGGGATAAGAATCCAGGAGCATTAGCGAAATGGGCGGAGGTAGGAAAGTTTGAACATATTTGTGTTATATGGTTAAATTCATCACAGATTGAGAATTTGGAAAGTCTCTGGTTTTATCGTACACTATGACTGTAACTGGTATTGTTATGGTGCAGTTTTATACCACGTTTCTAACATCAGCTTGGTTCCATTCATGTACTTTGTAGGGCAAAACAGGGTTTCCTTGGATTGATGCTATAATGATGCAGCTGAAACAGACCGGGTGGATCCATAATTTAGCCCGGCATTCAGTGGCATGTTTTTTAACCCGTGGTGACCTCTGGATCTCGTGGGAGGAAGGAATGAAGGTAAGATGATCAAAAGAGTAAAATAAAATAGATATACAGATATGTAAAATTAATGCAGACATACTTTTTTCCAAGTCAAATCAATCTTCCCAAAGGGTGGCTGAAAATGTTTTGCTTAAATTTGTCACAGTGTGCATAAAGTGCATTTAGAAAGTACAATGTGAAATTTGTCACAGTGTTCTTAAAGTGCATTTAAGAAGTACATTGGTAATTCTCATTTTTTTCTGATACCTGGGGATTAAATAGAAGATATATGACCTCAAGGAGAAAGGCACTTTAACAGTTTCTTGAAATCAATAGATGTTAACACTTTGAATGTGTAAGATACTTTAGGAGTGATATTCAAATTTCAATAATGGATAGACTTTTTAGGTGTTCTAGATCTACAAAAAATATACTACAAATCAATTTTTGTGACACCTCAAAATGTTCAGGAATTCTGATTTTGTTGTATATCTCTACAAGATGTGTTTGTGAAACACTGATGCCCCCATATAACAGCTTATTTAGGGTTGAAGTTTCTTAAATGCAAGTCAAACTCCAAAGATTGAGGTAAAAAGGTCAAAATTGGTATCAATGGAAGGTCTTCTCACAAGGAATACACCTGTGAAATATTAAATCCATCTTGCTAACTCTTCAAAAGTTATGCCCAAGGTTAAAGTTTTTAAAAAGTGGGTCAAATTCTTATGTTCAAAAATATTTATACCCATTGAAAGGACTTGTTACAGTGAATACACCTGTGAAGTATGAAAGGGCTAGCACCAACTGTTCAAAAGTTATGGCCAAGGTTTAAGTGAGGAATTTTTTGGTAAAAGTGGGGCAAACTCCAAGATCAAGAAATCAAATTTTGTGGTACCCCAAAAGGTCTTTTCACAAGGGATACACCTGTGAAATATGAAAGCCATATCTCCACCCACTGAAAAGTAATGGACAAGGTTAAAGTTTTTGCAGACAAACACACAGACAGGGCAAAAACTATATACCCCCGAATCTTCGATTACATAGGCATGAAATACATGAAAGAATGATTTTTTTGCTAGCAGACAGTCTCAAAAAGAACAGTTCTTGTAAATAAAAAGTGATATCTAGTCTTAACACAGTTAGAGCCAAATTCAACATAATCAATTTTTTTTTCACTTTTTAGCTCACCTGAGCTGAAAGCTCAAGTGAGCTTTTCTGATCTCATTTTGCCCGTCGTCCGTCTGTCTGTCTAACTGTCCGTCTGTCTGTTAACTTTTCACATTTTCTACTTCTTTTTCAAGAACCACTGAACCAATTTTAATCAAACTTGCCACAAAGCATCCTTGGGTGAAGGGGATTCAAGTTTGTTCAAATGAAGGGCCATGCCCTCATTCAAGGGGAGATAATTGGGAATTAATGAAAATTTGGTGGTATGTTTTAAAAATCTTCTTCTCAAGAACCACTGTGCCAGGAAAAATGAAACTTATGTGGAAACATCCTCAGGTAGTGTAAATTCAAGTTTGTTCAAATCATGACCCCCGGGGGTAGGGCGGGGCCAAAATGGCCGACCAAAGTTTTACATAGAAAATTATAGGAAAATTCTTTAAAAATCTTCTTCTCAAGAATAGCAAAGCCATAATTGAACCTAAATATATGGAAGCATCCTCAGGTAGTGTAGATTCAAGTTTGTTCAAATCATGACCCCCAGGGGTAGGGCGGGGCCAAAATGGCCGACCACAGTTTTACATAGAAATATATAGGAAAATTCTTTAAAAATCTTCTTCTCAAGAATAGCAAAGGCATTTATGGTCATATTTATATGAAAGCATCCTCAGGTAGTGTAGATTCAAGTTTGTTCAAATCATGACTCCCGGGGGAAGGGCGAGACCAAAATGGCCGACCAAAGTTTTACATAGAAATATATATGAAAATTCTTTCAAAATCTTCTTCTCAAAAATAGCAAAGCCATAATTGATCATATTTATATGGAAGCATCCTCAGGTAGTGTAGATTCAAGTTTGTTCAAATCATGACCCCCGGGGGTAGGGCGGGGCCACAATGGCAGACCACAGTTTTACATAGAAATATATACGAAAATTCTTTCAAAATCTTCTTCTCAAGATTAGCAAAGCCATGATTGATCATATTTATATGGAAGCATCCTCAGGTAGTGTAGATTCAAGTTTGTTCAAATTATGACCCCCGGGGGTAGGGCGGGGCCACAATGGAAGACCACAATTTTACATAGAAATATATAGGAAGATTCTTTTAAAAATCTTCTTCTCAATAATAGCAAAGCCATGATTGATCATATTTATATGGAAGTATCCTCAGGTAGTGTAGATTCAAGTTTGTTCAAATCATGACCCCCTGGGGTAGGGCGGAGCCAAAATGGCCGACCACAGTTTTACATAGAAATATATGGGAGAATTCTTTTAAAATCATCTTCTCAAGAATAGCAAAGCCATGATTGGTCATGGGACTATTTTTGGATTTAAACTTTAATAATAAACCAATTGCTACTTTTTCCTAGCCACAGTGCTCAGGTGAGCGATGTGGCCCATGGGCCTCTTGTTAATTAATTGTTTGCTTATCAAAAGCTTATGTAGTTGTCTGGAGCAGTGATATATTAAGAGCTTTAGCTTAATATATAGACATTAAATAAGAAAATGATTTCTACTGACAGGTGCTTGAAGAGCTATTAGGAAATGAGTCATGCTTGGAGTGTAAACTAACACATGTGGATGTTGCCGGTATAGATTATATAAGGTTTATGTTTCCCGTTGACAGGTGTTTGAGGAGCTACTGTTAGATGCTGACTGGAGTGTCAATGCTGGGATGTGGATGTGGCTTTCCTGTAGCTCGTTTTTCCAGCAGTTCTTTCACTGTTACTGCCCTGTAGGCTTTGGTAAAAGAGCAGATCCTACTGGGGATTTTATCAGGTAATTCTGTCATAGAATGTATTGGAACTTTAGAAGCGATTTTAGCAGGTAACCAGGGCTCGACATTAACGCTTGTCCGCTTGTCCGGTACCAATGAAAAAAAATTTCGGACAAGTGAATATTGCTGGGCACTTGTCCGATTGGACAAGTGATTTTTCTATGTAAAGAAGTCTTCAAATAATAATAATCATAAAAAAACAACTTTTGTAAAATTTATCGAATAAAAATGGAAGCAGTATATAAACCTGAATTTCGATCCCGATATGAATCGCTATGTAAGTTCACACTTGATCGGGATCGATGTTCATTAATTGCAGCCATACTATTGCATGGCGTGGATCTTATGACGTTTGTGAGTTTAAAATATATTTGATTGATTTTACAGATTCACATGCGAACATTTATGCTGTTGTCAGGACAGGAAATCTAGATAAAATTTTGTTTTATATGTGTTTGTCTTATTTATCAATAACAACACTTATAAATCAAGCACATTTAATTTTTTAATTGTTTTCAAGTTGACATAACAAGACATTCATTGAAAAATTTTCGGACAAGTAAAGTTGAAGATCGGACAAGTAAATATCTTGGTCACTTGTCCGAATGGACAAGTAGGAAAAAAAGTTAATGTCGAGCCCTGGTAACTGTGTCATAAGACTAGTGTTATATGATTATTATGTATCAAAAGCGTACTGGGATGTAGATCAGGTAGCAGAAAATTAATAGAATTCCTTAAGATTACATAGAGCAATGACCAACATTTGTGAAAATTTTGTCTCGCTAATAAAGAGTCAATGACTATCTCGCGAAAATAAGGTGTCGCCAAAAATAAGTGATGTACAGTATATAAATTTAACGAATTATCATATGGATATAACGAATTACATATATATTGAAGTAATTTTTTAGGTCCCAATGACTTTGTTATAACCGAGTTTTACTGTATATAGTTTATACAGAGAAAAATTCAAACTGTCCATATAATTTTAAAGTGAAGGTTTTATCAATTCAACAAGACATAACAAGATTGAAAGTCTTTAATAAAGTTATAAATTTGAAATATATCTAGTTCTCCTGTGTATAATGAAAACATGTATAAAATTCCAATTCTGTGATTTTTTGTGATTAAAATGTGTAAGATAATTCAGATAAAGCTACCTACCTAGCCACCCATCTTAAAACTTGGGTCAGAGCACAACAGAAAAATATTAAATGATGGCCCAGTAGTGTAAATAAAGTTGAATACCTTTACAGCTGGAAATTTTTCTAGAAAGATGTGGGAAAGTAAGAGACATTTCATAAAAAAAAAAATCAATAGTTATCCCTCTATCCCCTTTAAAATATTTAAGTGAATCTGAATGCCATTTCTTTTTATCAATATTTGTAGAACATACTTGCCTGTTCTGAAAGGATTTCCTGCCAAATATATATACGAGCCGTGGACAGCTCCAGAGAGTGTTCAGCGAGCAGCGAAATGTATCATTGGTAAAGACTACCCCGTCCCAATGGTAAACCATGCCGAGGTCAGCAAACTGAACATAGGACGCATGAAACAGGTCTACCAGCAGCTGGCCATGTATGCCTCAATAGGTAAAGTTAAAAAGAATCTACAATTCATCTTTAATATTTAAGTACATGAAAAAAATTAATGAATAAACAATGTAGTGCATTGAACATGTATAATTAAAAAAAAATCAGAATTACATTTCTTTGACACTTTGATGGAGATAAATGAAAAAAAAAGATATGTGTCACAAGTTTGCCAAATTCCTATTTTCAAAGTGAACTACAAAATGCTGCTGTCCAAATTTAACCTAATGAAAATTTCATATGTGTGTATTTATCACTTGAGTAAATTAAATCATATTTACTACATATGTATTTACATTTTTTTTAGCTTCAGTCCCTAAACAAATCAACATTGAGGAACCATATAGCAAGCACACAAAAGGTAAATAATGTAATCCTAAGTTACATGTATTTATCTCATTTTTATACAAAGCACAATTTTAATGTAAACATGCTGTTATTTTATGCTGATAAATCATGTCTGTAATATACTGCAACCTACTTTATGTCAAAATCAAATAGCTTATTATGGCATAAAATAAATTGTTAAATTGCAAAGTAAAATTAAAGAACAGAACAGACAACTGTGAATTTGGAATGGACTGCAACAAGTTTGACTCAGAAATTCAGAAATAAAAGAGCTAAATTAGAAATTCTTGAATTAAGTTTTTCCTATATTCCGTTCACAGAAAGATGAAAATAGGATTTATATTTAGAATACAATTAAACAAGAGGACCAAGGACCATGACGCATTCAATGAAGTTTTAATCTGTAAGACATATATTTTCTACTATGAAATTGGAAAAGAACGAAACAATTATAATTTTGTTCTCTTTGAGCAGCAATGCATTCTGGGAACCATCCTTCGCGTGTAACCATGATGGATAATACTGAGCACGGTAGTCATGGAAACCATTCTCAGATGACAGGAGAGGAGAGTGATGGCCAGAAGCAGTACTTGACAACGTAGGGGTCAACATAGGGGGTCGGAATCAAAGCTGCTATGGTGACAACTTAGGTGATGAATCAAAGCCGTTGTTTTGAGGAATACACCATTCCATGATGTCCCAATTTTATCTGGCGTGTTTCAGAGGCTCAACCAAAAAAGGATGAATTCCCGCAGTTCATTTCATCAATTTAAGGACCTTGTAAGACTTGCTAAAAGATAATCTGAAGGGCATTATTACAAATGTATGTGGATACTAAGTCAATGCATACATGACAAAACTTTCACTGTGGATGCAGTGCTGAGTTCCTATTATAATGAGAACTGGAAATATGGGGTCTATTTCTCAAACTTAGTTTGTATGAACAATTTCCCACTAAATAATTTAGTGCTACATGAAACAGAAAGTAGGAATGAACAGGGAAAGCATGCTATTAGATTTTGATAATTTGCATTAGATATTTGATTTGGTCTGTTATTTATTCCATGTTACCATTCCATGCAGACCAGAGCTAAACACAATTTAAACCTTTTTACTCGACAACAAGACAATCAAGTTAGTTTGTGTAAGACATTTCCTGAACATGCTGAAAGGATGTAGTATGAGTGAGAGTGTATTTTACTTTTGTTATCATAAATCATTCGTAACTTAATTAACTATTGTTCAGCCCATTAAAGGAGACAGTTTTTTTTTTGCTGCATTTGTAACAGAGGGTTAAATTTATTTTTTTTTTTTACCTGCTACCAAATCAATAGAATTTTGGGGTTCTTTAGATAAATTGTTTAATTATGTCCATTTTTTACTGTAGAAGTACTTTTTTCCGCATGGTATTAATTTAAACTATGTACGTGGACACAAATTTTCCATGGAAATTTGTCCAAGCGTACTTAATATACATGTAAGGCATATAGTGATGATCTAAGAAATCTGTGTAATTATTTACTCGCGGATTAAACAGAAATTGAGATTCCACGGAATTATGACCCCGTGGAAAAAAGTACGTCTACAGTATCTTTGTGCCAAGACAGATAATCAGTGGATCATATGAAAACTTTAAAAGTAATATTTATTCAAATTTATTTCAATGATTCAGAGTGTTCACATTTGGAACAAATACCCCGGTAATTATAATAGTTCTTTTTTACAGACTCTGTTTAGCTCACGTGAGCATTCTAAATTTTTCACTATTTCATTCTAAGACCACCAAGCTAATTTCAAATAAATGTAGCCTGGGGTACTCAGGTGAGCGTTGTGACTTATGGGCCTCTTGTTTTCTTAGAACTGAGCTTGTGTGATGAATCAGAATTTTCAGATACAGGTATATCCAGATACGTTAAAACAATTTCACAGGCAGCAATTATAATTTTTGCAAATTTGTCAGTATGTATGATATTGATTAATTGAGATACTTGTACGGAAGCATTGTCTTTAAAATGATCATAAATACTATTAAAGGCAAATAATGTGAATTGAACAACGATTTTTTAGGTCATTTAAGTAACTTACAGTACCTTTTACTATCTGTACTTGTCTGTTGTTGTCCATGGGTCATGAACTTTTTAAACATTTTCAGCTTCTTCAGTTTTTTCTTCTCAATTTTTGTTTTGAAACTCTTCTCTTTGATATTAAGCAGAAAAACTAAGTGCATGTGTATTATGGGCAAGGACATCTTTAGTAGAAATTTTATGGTCCCTGTGTAACGGGATGGGTGTTAAGGCAGGACTGTGATGATCATAAAATGTAGCTACAGAAAAAAGTTTTTTATTAGATGGGGGTATCATTTCCATTTTAAGATACATTTTCCTACTCAAAGTCCAACATCTGTTATCAATAAACCATATATTTTACTGAAATTCTTGTTTAAACTTGTTTAAAAAGACTTCTGTGACCTTGAAATGTCAATTGAAAAAATCACCATCTACTCCCAAGGCCATGGAGGACTTTTTAGAAATTATTGTTATTAATGCATTAATCTTTTGAAAATTCCTTTCTGATTCTTGACATCTCTAAAACAAATAAAAAACAAAATTGCAATGAGCAAGATTTTATTTACAAGATTTTGAAATTTTTGACCATTTGGTCAAGGGACTTGGTATTGGAAAGGACTTTTGATCATGAAGGTGACACTTCTCTACACCATGAAAAGCATTATCCTTTTATTATTCACCTATGATGATAGAACACTGTGAAAAATGAAATTGATGGGCCAAAAAATAAAAGATATAAGAATTTTCATGACGCTGTACAAAAAGTATTTTTATAGTTATTAATGGTCAGGTAGACTTGTAAATAAATAATGAGACCAAATGCAATAGATTTGTACATCAAATATTATTCAAAGACCAAGAGAGGTGAAATTTACAGGGATTATACTGTTTTATACACTGTTCAGTATGCAGAAGCACTTTTATATTGTTTGCTTTGGTACATACAGGCAAGTAAAAAGATTTACTTCTTAACTTAATGTTATTTAACTATTTCCTCAATCTATCATCATCCATTTCTCTCCCATTTTACAGATTCTTTACACAGTTGCAATATGCCCTTGGACCTCTTGTTAGTTACTGTAAATATAAAGTTGTACATGTAAGCTGTTTAACTTAATATCTTGTAAAAATATAATGTATAATGTTGTGATTTTTAAATGTTGACCATTAATTTTCTATCACCTCTTCTTTATGAATTGTAAATTTTTTAACTTACCGAATTTTGTTTTAAAAATTCATTATGCTTCCTCAGGGAAAACGAGGGGGCATTCCTCTTGGCACTTTCTGGTTTGATGTTTGGTTTAGTAGATCAATGATCACTGACCAGTGCATACATTTTGAAAAACCCTTGCTTGATAGTCTTTAGATTTTACACAAAGAAAGATTACCAGATGGCTTCTACTAATTAAACAAAATTTGAAGGTTTCTTTCTCAGTTTCTGCACCAATTTCGATGAATGGTTTTTTAAAGAAAAAAAAAATATGGTTTTAGTTGTTTTTATCAACTTTATGAACAAGTTGGTCATTACAAACATGACTCTCATTAATTTGCAGATCAAAAGCTCACTCTAGAAAATTTAATCAAGAACTTTTTGTTAAAAAATATTCAAACTTTTTACATGATACTCTTGTAGCATACAAGAGATTTGGGGGGGGGGGGGGGTGCAAAGGTCAGCAGTTTTTTTTTTATCTTTATTCTAAATTAATGACACATAAGTAAAAATTTAAAAAGTCTTTGTTGGATCATTAAACTTTATACACAGTTGACTGACAATGTTAGAGAAGCATACGTATTAAAGAAAATATCTTTAATTTTCTGGTACATTTTTTTTTTTTACCCTACAGTTGACAAAAAATTAGTCACATTGAATTATCAAATACAGTTGAATTTCAGTACCTCAGACACTGATATCTTGAATATCCTTGATATGTCGGAGGGATTCAGAGGTCCCAGCACTGTATTGTACTTATTTTACCCTGGGTATTTTGTAATTTTTCTGTGTTTTTTTTTAAATTCAAATGCTAAAAATTGTTAAAGTAAGACTTATTTGTTGGAAAGTTAACAGTATAAGAAAACAGTTCGTGTCAGAAAACTTGTAATGCTAGTGTTCATTGCTTGTGTTGATTTTGCTAAGTCATTAAACATGATTTATGGAACCAGATATGTATAATTGCAGAACTTGTTTCTTTTATATAATAGAGATTATTTTCTGTTCAAATCTGTGTCACTGTTGTTATTATGTATATTTATAAAGAAATAAAACATGAAAAAATGTGTTATCAATAAAAATTGAAATATTATAGTAAAATCTGGCATTAAGACAACCCACGAAGACAAAAAGTGATTGAAAACAAATGACTAGAAACTGTCTTTGTGCCATGGATGATGGAATTCGGAGGTACTCAGTAACCGCAATGTTTTTCGTAAAGGAGTTGAACATCAGCGGCGAAGGTTACCATGTGTTTCTCAAATCAACATAGGAACTAATTCGATATAGTCATCGTGTAATAATATATGCATAAATATCAGGAAGTGGTGTTTGTTCACTTTAAGGTGATGTAATAGAGAGCCTAAAGATTTCACACGATGAATTTGATAATTGTCTGGAATCGGTTAACATGGAAAAATCTGAAGGCCAGGATGCTCTCCATCTCCTGAGTTCTGTATCCATAATATCAAAGAATTTCCAATCCTCAGCTCTACGGAAAGTCCACGTAGTTTGTTGTCTTCTCTTGTAGTGTTAAAAATGTTTAATTTATTGACTTGTGTCTTGTACTTTCTTATAGAATTATTGTGGATGTTGACTACTTGGTTACAAGGTTGGCTCTTCTAAAAGTTTTAAACCTGCCATTGTCTCTGGGAAAAGTCTTGTCCGCATTACTTGTGATGAAGAAATGGGTTGTCCGATCTGCAATGCTAGAACCCTTCCTCTTGGTGAGCAAATAGCAACTGGAGCAATATGTGGCCCAATCCATTGTTCTATAGAATGCATCTTGTGAAAGTCTCTTCTTATGAGTAGTAGTATTAATATGTTAATCTGATGTATCTGTGGATACAAGGAATAAATGAATTGACAATTGACAAAGTATTTTCACAGAAAAGTTAATAATATTTAAAAAAATTTGCAATGGCTTGAACATGTGCGACATCGGGAATTGAATTCTCAGAATGATTCTCTGAAATGTTGAGCATCACATTCGAACACGGGGGATAATTTCAGATGAACAATTTGATTATCAGCGATTGTTACAACAACTAACCCTTTTGCCAAGCTTTTGACCTTGGCAGAAGTAGAGTATAATGTAATGGGTGAAGATAACGAAGAACTGCAATACCGAATAACTCCCCGAAAAGGTTTATTTGCCAAGTTCTTTAATTTCACCTTTTCCACTTAGCTACAAATCATCATGCAGTTGGAGTTTACAGCAAGTCGACTTTCTGGTCGGAATTTTCTATAAAGTCCATTTTGCCTTTTTTTTTCTTGTTAAAGATCTCTCCTTTTCCTATAAAGCTAATACTGCAGATGTTACATTCTACAAACCACAGGATGCTGCAAGTCACATATATTCGATCTTATTTTAGTTAAAACCGTCAATCATAGATGCTGCGCGAAACCTTTGTTTTATGAATGATTGACCAGGTTCAGTTAATTTTTTTAAAGGCACACTTATGAGCAATTATATGAAAATGATGGTAATTTTGATGTACATGTAGATTTAAAAAAATCTATGCAAAGAAAAACTTCTTACGATCGAGTTTCTGGACATTAACAACAGTATTTAAAACGTCAAGTAAACGATTGGAAAACCTGTCAATTTCTTGAAGTATAGGAGTATTACGTTTTTGAAGGTTTATGAAATAAAACATATGGAGGTAACGATCAGTATTCAAGATATAAAGTCCATAAAACAATGCAAAATAGTAGAAGAGCAAACAGAGACCCCAAAAACAACAGAGATGGGATCAGGTACCATGGAGGAGCGAGCATCCCCTAACGACCGGTGTAACGTTGAATTTTGACCCGGGTTGAAAATTGACCCGGGGGTCATTTTTCAACGTTGAATACTGAGACCTAAGATGTTGAATTTAGACCATAGTCCGTTGAAAACTGAGCCGGGTCGTGCAATTTTGATCCTGAAACCGGTTCTAAATTCAACAGCATAAAAACACATATTTATGACTTGGTTTTCACAAGTGTGATTTAATCCATGGGCGTCGGAAAGGGGGGGGGGATAGGGATGCTTAGCCCCCACACTCCCCACTTTTTTGCAAAGATAGACATAAATAATATAAGCATTGAACAAAGTGAAGTTGGTTTAGCCCTCCCCCTTTCAACAGGCACGCTACAGTTTAGTCAAAGAAAGAAGAGTAAGTGGTAGTGCTTGATTTAAAAAAAAAAAGAAATCACCCCCCCCCCCCCCCCCCCCCGAAATAGGATTTTCGGATTCTTTTCTTTTTTTGTCAATTATTTTTAAAATTTGATTTTGTTTCTTTTTCAATTAACCCCCCTCCCCGCACTTTCAATTTGCATCCGACACCATTGTAATCAATACATACTTAATTCTGTTATATTCTTAGAATAAAATATTAACAAAAATTTCTTCGATTTTAAAGTTACACGTAGTTTAAAATCGCAATATTCCGGGTAATACTTATTCTAAAAACTCATTTGTATATGTAAATCATTAGTATATGTAAATCCTATTAGTATACAGTCACACAATATAAATTTAGTTCAGAAATTTGTTTATCTACATTTGCTTTTTGCTAAGAACACTTCATTTATTTCAATCTTAAAATTCGTAATATTAGTATTTGGGAAATAGTGAGAGTTAAACGCATGATGCACGTGCGTTTTAATGTTTCTGAGACTGAGATTCTCGATTTTTTTGAACTTGGCAATCAGTGTCATCCGCACTTAAAATTCACTTTTGAAATCTCTGTTGATTCAGTAAACTTTTTAAACACAAAAGTGTATAAAGAAAGAAAATTTCAAGAATCAAACAAACTTCATATCAAATCTTACATAAAACCAACAAACAATTTAATTCCAATATCTACACAGAGAAAGTTCTCACAACCAAGCGGTATTCAAAGATTTCGTTAAAGGTAAATGCAAAAAAGCGTGTGAAAAACACTTGTCAAAGAGAGGCTTCTCTGATATAGAAGTAGATCCTATTATCACAGATAAAACTGGAACAGACAGAAATGAGATCCTAAATAAAAGCAACGGCCAATTGAGACTCCACAATAAATTGGTTATAGTTACAAAATATAATCGGAGAGTCAACCGACTAAAAAACGCATCTTAAAATACTGGGAAGAAACGAAAACCGACACAAGATGCAAAGAAATATTTACCTCAGAACCAATTAAAGCTTATAGCAAAGACAAAAGCAAAGGCGATTATGATATAATGTTTAGATCATATTTACCACAAGAATACACTGCTAAGATGGACTCCTGATGAGGTAGGCCTTAGAGCAAGTACCCGTTACAAAAACTGCCGAACACTCTTTATTATATTTCTATATATGTTAATGAATACTTATATTTCCAACAGAAAGGAATCCCTGGTTTAGAAGTTTTGTTTAGAGTGTAGGGGTCCTAATACATTTCATGGACAAGTTTGGCTGATTGATGTCTTTATTTTCACACCAGATTTCCAGGATTTTTGTTTTATTTCCTATTCATTGTTTTATAGTTATTTATGGATGTTATGGATTTTAGAAAGTATTGTCAAAGAATTAACTTAATTGCCATGCTTGAAGATAACTGAAATCGTGCACTGATCAAAATATACATATATACACGGGATGATAGGTTTATTTCTATTACTCTTGAAAAGGGACAAAATTGAAACTGAAATATAAGTATAGAGATATTGATAACTCCCGTAAAACAACTTCCCAGTTCAAATCATGTTCTCTGAGGTGGGGTCAATATTCAACAGGGTCAATTTTCAACTTGTTGAGGTCATCAGGGATAAGAAAAAAATTATCAAGCTGTTGAAAAATGACCCCGGGTATAAATTCAACGACTTTTGGTCTCAATTTTCAACGGAGAAAAAGAAACATCCCTGGTTCAATATTCAACGTTGAAAAATGACCCCCGGTTCAATTTTCAACTCGGGTCAATATTCAACGTTACACCGGTCAAACCAGCCGCGTGCTCCTTGTCATGATCGGGAAATAAATTCAAATAACGGATAAATACGTCGTCAATATTCATTGAATAAATAATGGACTTACAATTAGTATGAAAAGCGCCAGTCATTTGATTCAATGATAAATTGAATTTCCTGACAAGGTCATTTTATCGACCATAGAACATACGAAATAATGACTTTTAACGAGACTCTGATATTCTTGTTCTATCAACTTGTTTGTCAATAATTTACCTCGTTTTAGATATTGTTTATACGTAGAGCATGCTCTTGCATATCGAATCAACCAAGATAGATAAATGAAATCTGAATTTAATGCTTGTCGCTTATTCCTGAGGAACGTGCATGTACTTGTGTCGCGTTGTGGGTCAACGTTCATTTGAGCTTCAAAAATAAGCGAACTTGTCAACTCCATGACTACTTTGATTTAACGAATGAATCGCATGAATTATTTGTAAATCTATTGTTTGATACATACATGTACTTTTGAACCCCCAAAATTATTTGGTTAACGGACTTATGAGCTGCAAAGGTACTTTTGTAAATGCAAGTTTGCTGTAGCTTCTTTGGTATACGTACTTACCATCTGCAAAACTACTATTATACATGTATTTGTGAGCTGCTAGAATATTTTGGTATACGTAATGAAATATAAAAATCTTTCTTACATAATAAAGTAAATGTAATGCTTTTATTCATTTCTTGCAAAACTATACAGATCATGTTTAAAACTCCTCGGATAAATTATTTTAATTCTAGGTAGTGTCATTAGGAAGCCCGTATGTCTTTTGTAAAATCCTCCTTGATTTGTGTAAGAAGTTGAGGATTGGTGAAGACGTCTATTGCAGTCATTGCCAGTGCTTTCCCTTGTGCCAGTGTGTAAGGCTGGGCGATAGGATCACCTGGAATTAGAATAAAGTCATTATTATACTTCTGTTAAAATGTTTCCTATATAAAGTTCAGAAGGTAAAATGACTATCTTTTATAGTTCATGCATAGCAAAGCTATACCCCGGGGTATAGTTTTTGCTATCCACCCTCGGAAAATTTTCATGCAATTGTTGCTGCCAATTTTGATTTCCAGCGATAAATCTATTGACAGATGATGTCATTATGACTTTAGTAGCATTGTGACTTCATCAGGATTTCAGATTATTCTTGCAGAAATTATCTTACTCCAAAAAATTCAAACCTCAGAAATTATATTATACATCAGTATAATAAAACGCTTATCCACTGTTTGTGAGTGGGATAACTCTTTTATCAAACCCTTGACAGAAACTATTCCCCTCGGGCAAGCCCTCGGGGAATAGTTCCCTGTCGCGGGTTTGATAAAAGAGCTATCCCACTCACAACCAGTGGATAAGTGTATAATATTTCATTACAAGATAAACAAGAGGCCCAGGGGCCACAGCGCTCACCTGAGCACATCGGCTAGGAAAAAGCACATATCAGTTCAGAACTGAAAGTTTACCGAGTTTGGAGGGGGGCTTAAATCTTAAACCCCCAGGGAGCATGATTTGAACAAACTTGAATCTACACTACCTGAGGATGATTCCATATAAATAATCATGGCTTTGAAGTACTTGAAAAGAAGATTTTAAAAGATTTTTCCTATGTATTCCTATGTAAAACTTTGATCGGCCATTTTGGCCCCACCCTATCCCCAGGGGTCATGATTTGAATAAACTTGAATCTACACTACCTGAGGATGATTCCACATGAGTTTCATTTTTCCTGACCCAGTGGTTCTTAAGAAGAAGATTTTTACAGATTTTGCCTATATATTCCTATGTAAAGCTTTGATCGGCCATTTTGATCCCACCCTACCCCCAGGGGTGATGATTTGAACAAACTTCAATCTACACTACCTGAGGATGATTCCGCATGAGTTTCATCTTTCCTGTCTCGATGGTTCTTGAGAAGAAGATTTTTACAGATTTTTCCTATATATTCCTATGTAAAGCTTTGATCGACCATTTTGATCCCGTCCTACCCCTGGGGGTCATGATTTGAACAAACTTGAATCTACACTACCTGAGAATGATTCTACATGAGTTTCATCTTTCCTGTCTCGATGGTTCTTGAGAAGAAGATTTCTACAGATTCTTCATATATATTCCTATGTAAAACTTTGATCGGCCATTCTGGCCCCACCCTACCCCCGGGGGTCAAGATTTGAACAAACTTGAATCTACACTACCTGAGGATGATTCCACATGAGTTTCATCTTTCTTGGCCCAGTGGTTCTTGAGAAGAAGATTTTTACAGATTTTTCGGCATTTTTTCCTATATATTCCTATGTAAAACTTTGATCGGCCATTTTGGCCCCACCCTACCCTCGGGGGTCATGATTTGAACAAACTTGAATCTACACTACCTGAGGATGATTCCACATGACTTTCATCTTTCCTGGCCCAGTGGTTCTTGAGAAGATTTTTTAAAAATGCCATTAATTTTCCTCTAATTCATAATTATCTCCCCTTGGAAAAGGGCACAGCCCTTCATTTGAACAAACCTGAATCCCCTTTACCCAAGGATACTTTGTAGCAAGTTTGGTTGAAATGGGCCCGGTGGTTCTTGATTAGAAGATGAAAATGTGACAAGTTTACGACGACGACAACGACAGACGACGGACAAATTTTGATCAGAAAAGCTCACTTGAGCCTTCGGCTCAGGTGAGCTAAAAAGGATAGAAGGGTGGCTGGTCTTGTATAAATACTCATTAAGCAAACTTTAGTAAAGACACAGTATTACCCGGTATTAAAACACCACCACTTGCCAGTGGAGGCCTGCAATTTAGCCCTATGCTTGACACTTGCACTGAACAATTTGAGCACTGAAAAAGCTCCTTGTGTGAATACTTATACTATGACAGGGAACAACATACTACATGTAGTATACAAAAATGTACATATTGTGTTATTAAATTCTTTGTTGATAAAAAAGCAATTATAATCCAACTTTATTACATTTTGCGTTCTCATTACATTTTGCTTTTTAACATAGCGCAATATACGAGTATATTATAACCTGCTGCAGCTGTGAATTCGCGTGTATGATTGAGTGCATCGCTGCCAATATAAAACATTGGATGTATGCTTGGAACGGCGTAGGAAACATTCCCCATATCTGTGGATCCGCCCGCCGGAAATTCCTTTTCTGGAATTCTATTTCCAAGATTCACTATCTTCATATTCTCTTCGAATGCTCCCAGTAGCGATTTGTTATGAATGACATCAAGATAGGGTCTTTCCGAAAACTTTAGTTCCATCTGTAAAAAAAAAATACGAAAACTGAGACAAGACCAATATTACGTAAATATATAAATGATATTCTTTTTTATATTGTATGTTTAGATGGCAAATCGCGAGAAAAATAATTTGCGAGTGGGCAGTTTTTCGGGAAATTTTAGATGATTTTAGTACCATTAAAACGAGTAACTTAATTTCCCGAGTGTTGCTTCTCACGAAGTTACGCGATAATTAATTCCTTCCCTTTGTAATATTTCAAAATGCCTCAGAAATATTTATCAGAATTTTCAGTATCACTAAATCAAGTGATTTTCAATAGCTTAAGATAGGAGATTTCATCCATTTGCATGAAATTATTCAAAAATTTTACGGAAACTTACCTGAAGTTACCTGAAGTTGTTAATTAAGCAACAACACTTCATTCAAATAATTAATCTAAATTAAAATTATTGGGCCACTTCCCTCAATAGCTTTATTGTAGGACCCCATTGGAAATAAGCTCTAGAGCTTTAATGGGTTATCCTGGTATCAATCTAGTCACAGTGAAATTGTGTTTCTAAAAATTTTGTTACCCTAATTATTTATTGATGAAATCTGGATTGTCAACATTTGTCTTTCATATGATCATGTATGGTTATGTTTATTTGTTTTATGTATGATGACAAAAAGAGGAAGTATACATGTGTATTTTGACCATACTGTACATCCGGTTGCCGTGGCAGCGCTCTGGAAGCACCTCTTGACCTTCTCCGTCAAAATGTCCACTTCCTGTTTTTTAGGGGCTCGTATGTTAAACTCCAGTTCTGTTTCTTCTGGTATGATGTTAGGTTTTGTGCCGCCTTTTGTAATTATTCCTGAATCATATCAAACTAAAGGTTCTACAAGAATATTTCAATATTCACAAAATAAAAGATGCGTATATAATCAAGTGAATTGAAGGTACATTTGTTAAATAATATATTTCAATTTGGCAGGAAAAAAGCATACGAGTATCTCTATTATTATTTTTGTCGCTTCTTTCAACAAATAGTTTTTTGATACCGCTTCTTAAAATTTTAAAGGAATCACTTACTGGTAGATAATAGATTTATACTAGTTTATAGGAAATTAAGCATATTAAATTGAAAATTTAATTTGTTGAAAAAAAATCTCTAAAAAAGACAAAAAACACTTTGAATTTAGACTTGATTATAGAATAGAATAGATTTATTATTCCAGATCAGGGCCCTTGTGGGCATATTACATACATAATCATTAAACAGAGCATATAATAGTTATTAACAAAGTGTGGTGTAATAGTAGTATTCAGCATATTCTTAGGACATGTATATACTTAATCAATTTACACATGCATGGTTCATACGTTGAGATAATTGCTAACATGTGAAATTTAAATACATATTGTAAAATATAAATAAGTACCATCATGTACCATAATGCAAAAAAAAAAAAACAAAAAAAAACAGATATACATACGCAGAAAAAAAAATATACATTTTTTTACATATACATACACATACATTTATATACATGTCCACACACATACATACTGAGTAGCTATATTCCACTAAATTACAAAAGATACCACGGGACAGTGCATTGGCACTTTATTGTCACCATGTTTGCATATCTTATGACCAAAGTAATATTTATTAAGTAAGAGAGACTATACTTACCATGAACACGCCATGTTGGCTTCATCTGCTGCCGTAAGTTAGACACTGCCTGGTAGGCGTTCACGGCTGCGTCAAGAGCGTTGACGCCTTCCCAGGGAAACGCTGCCGCGTGTGACGCCTTACCCTTGTATGTAACCATTAAACTATTTGAATTTTTAAAGAATAATAGTTAAAGTCACATTTTATACATGTATTTTTAATGAAGTGCATTACAGATGGGGAGTAATGTGCGCAACTAGTATCATACTTTAAAAAAAAAAAAAAGGATTGAAGAAAGCGTACCTTTGTATTGCGTTAAAGCTTATGGCGGGTCCGTCCATTGGCGCCGGATGTGACATCATCGCTATGTCAATCCCATCAAACACGCCCTGCTCTAATAAGACGATTTTACCTCCACCACCCTCCTCTGCAGGGGTCCCGATCACAGACAACTACCACAAATATAGACAATATAATTCTTCTAAGAAATAGTATCGAAAGAAATTTATTACTGTTTTACATTCAAACATTAAAAATCTTATGTATTTCGCATTGTTTGACCAAAGAGGTGTCATTTCAAAATTCGCAGCTAGTTGCGAATCAGTAAGATACACTGTAGATCTAGTAGGCAATGATGTTTTTTTCGTATCTTTTGGATTATTGCCACTGGTGAGGAATAAAATGAATGGGGAAATCAAATACCGTAACAAACCTTTCCTAAAGGTTTTCCAGCAGCTTCAAACGCCGCCTTTATCCCTAATCCTGCAGCTACTCCCGTCTCTGCGATCAAGTTATGTCCGCAAGCGTGACCAATTCCAGGAAGAGCATCATATTCACATATAACTGCCACGTGGGGACCATGAGAACTCTCTCCAAGAACTGCCCGGAAGGCTGTGTCACATTTATACTTCCGGTCCACAGGAAAGCCTCTGTCCTCCAAAAACTTTGTTAAATAGTCATGGCTGTAAAATTCCTCAAAATTTAGTTCAGGGTGGGACCAGACTTCTTTGCTAAGTGTATGTAACTCATCGGCGTATTCGTCTATAGCCTTGCAAGCGGCTTGCTTCAAATCCGACATCGTCCTAATCTTAACATATCACCGCTAGAATACATGTCTGTATATATATATACATATAATCAGGTGTTTGCATGTTTACATTGACAGTCACACCCCTTTGTGGACATGCATAAATTATATCTATTACAGCCGCGACCTAAATACGAAAGATGTTGCTTTGCATTTAAATTTAAGCAGGGTATGTACAGGTGTGAAACAATACGGGAAATTTCAGAAGAGATGCCATAAATAAAACTCTTAGAGGGTTTGTATATCAATGACCCCAACAGCATGTATAAGTATAAAGGTATAAGTATGCAATGGTATACAGTATTAAAAGAAATTTCAAAAGAACAAATCTAGGCATCATTAAACCATTCCTACGAATATCTGATATTTCTTTTATGCATGTATATCATAAAGAAATGTGATAAGACATAAAATCTTAGGTCTAAGTGACATTTGTGATAAGCCATCCAATAAAGGTACAAATTAAATTGTACGTTTAATTAAGTATAACACTGGTTAATTACAAATCAATTGTGGAAGGAATTTTGAAGTGCGTGTCGATCTCTCGCCTTCCAGGTTTATTTGTAAAATAGGTCTTTCAAAACGTTCTCCCTTTTCTTATAATCAACACAGGTCTGGGGACAAATATTAGATAATCTGATAATGATGGTAACTTTGTATTGACCAGCAAAGCCCATGATATTAAACCGTTATCATGCCTTATGCCATCAGTCAATATCAAATGTTGCGAAAATTCAAAATCTCACACAGGGTTTTTCGCACCCAAAATTCAAATGAGAACATTTTTGAGTTGTCTATATTTCTCTTATTATCTACATCTTCAAATTTGCAGAATTTCCTTTAGATTTTCAAAGTATTTGATACTTTGAAATAGTAAAGGACGCACTTTGAAAAAAAAAAATACGCACTTTGAAAAAAAAAACTCAAAGTGCTTTAAAACTGGGAATAATCAACGCAGGTTGAAATTTTTTTCCAAGACTTGTGCGTTTAATTTGGGACAAAGTCAACGTACTTTGAAAAAAAAAAAACTTTCAAAGTGCGTTAAGTTAAGAGTGTACATTTACAATTATTTTCAATTGAGACACTAAACGCATTTTGAAGAAAAAATTGTAAAAACAAAATTTCTGGAGTAAGATTTTCGTATTAACGTTACGAACATGTTAGCTACATGCATATGGCCAATTAATCGCCTGTTTGTTTAATATTCTACCGAGTTGCGTAATCATTATTCAAAATGTGTCCACAATGATTCTCTTAAAAGGTATTTAGAAGGTAAATAAAACATGCTATTTGACATGTCTAGCTTTTTCATTATATCAAACAGATTTAGAAGTAATCTGACTGCATAACTTTTGTTTATGTTTTATTTCACAAAAAGTAAGTAATGAGCGAGGTAAAATTTCAGTCGGGTGAGTATTGTGGCTAAAGTTTATTTTTCTTCAAACATGTATCAATATAACAACTAGAGGTACTGTGAGCGATGAGCTCACTAAATGATACCCCCGCCTCCCATATGGTTATAATGGCAGTAGTCCATGTTTTGCTGTGGCCGGGAAACCCAAAATATGTGTCGGATCAAAAAGTAAAATAGGAGGTGCACAATGGCAATATGTAATAAAGATTCTGTGAAAGTTTCATTAAATTTCATTCAGTGGTATAAGAGGAGTTGCGGATAAGAGATGGGTACCCTAAAGCGTAATAGACAGACGGACGGACGGAGGGACGGTCATACCGATTACAGTATACCCTCCCACTTTTCAAGCGGGGGGGGGGGGTGGAGTATAAATATATACACAATAGATACATGTAAATAAAAGTATATGATAGAAAGAGAATTTTCCTGGTACATTTGTATTTCAAAATCATAATAATTGCTCCCCTTTCCCAAAGAAAAATGCTTAATGTCGACCCCCTAGCTGCAATAAAACGCCTATACTTGAGATCCTGAAGTGGCGTCATCACCGGAAAATAATCCAGTCAGGTTCAAATGCTAGTAATTCATTTTAATGCCTATAAAATTATCAAGAACATGTACTTTTTTTTTCTTCATTAACGCACTTTGAAAAAGAAGTATTCTCAAAATGCGTTAACTTGGTTCCAAAGGTACTTTGATTTTTCTTTTCATCCGTCTCCATGCACTTCAAGTTATACAGACGACACGTCAGTATCTATCATGGTTCAGCAAAAGTGGGGTAAGACGAGACTAACCAACAAAATATAATTATCTAAAAAAAAAAAAGAGTAGATAAAATTATAGTTACTGACTTTGAATGCTTATCCTTGATAAGTTTAATTTCGGACTGGATTGCATGAAAGCAATTAAAAATAGAGGTACTGTGAGCATGAGCTCACTAAATGATACCCCCGCCTCCCATATGAATATAATGGGACTGTCTATGTTTAGTTGTAGGAAACCCAAAATATATGTCAGATCAAAAAGTAAAATAGGAGGTGCAAAATGGCAATATGTCATAAAGATTCTGTAAAAGTTTCATCAAATTTCATGCAGTGGTATGAGAGGAATTTTGGATAGGAGATAGGTACCCCAAAGCGTGACAGACGGACAGACGTACGGACGGACATAAAGATTACTTTAAATAGATATTTCGAATTACTGTTAATATGAGTTGTAACCTACTTGTCACAGTCTGAAAGGAAATTGTATATAATATTTAAAAAAAAACTTTGAAAACAATACTCTAGTATATATACTATACTGAATGTAGAAAGACTTTTATGCTTATTTGAAGAAAACTAGAGGCACTGTGAGCAATGAGCTCACTAAATGATACCCCCACCTCCCATATGAATATAATGGCAGTGTCCATGTTTTGCTCTGGAAAATCCAAAATATATGTCAGATCAAAAAGTAAAATAGGAGGTGCACAATGGCAATATGTAATGAAGATTCTGTGAAAGTTTCATTAAATTTCCTTCAGTGGTATGAGAGGAGTTGCGGATAAGAGATGGGTACCCCAGAGCGTAACAAATTCTGCTTCATATGAATACAAAAATAGGTCTGCTAATAACGGGGCACAATTGGTACCCATCGGAATTCCAATAGACTTATGTTTTTAACAAAATATTATTGCAATTGACCAATGACAAGGTGAGTAAATTTACGAGTTCCATTTTGTATCAATTGAAAAAGCAGCTGACAATATAGCTGCAGATCTGTAGCTCTCCGAAAAAAATATATTGATAAACCGGAGAGCTACAGTGCCACCCATTGAAAAAACTGTATATTTATTGCGCACAAAAAAGTGCGCTCGGTTCTCGATTTATTTCTCCCTGTTTTTAAAACTGTAATCTCAAAATGTTACTAACCGTGTGTTCCTCACATATTCTTTCGCTGTTTCCACAACCAAACATTCCTCATAATTGTTGTTAATAGTCCTCCTGACCCTGAAATTGTAATCATCGAACATTTCGCTTATTTATACTGCCATTTTGGTTTCAAAGATAATTCGGTCCAATATGCTTCGTTCAGATGTCAACTACTTGAGGATAAAGGAAATTTTTAAAATTTTTCCTTTTTTGCAACTGAGGTAAGAATTTGGAAGAATTAATCAAGAACCGAGCGCACTTTTTTGTGCGCAACAAATATACAGTTTTTTCAATGGGTGGCACTGTAGCTCTCCGGTCTATCAATACATTTTTTTCGGAGAGCTACAGATCTGCAGCTACTGACAATAATATCAGAAAGCCTGGACTTAAATTTATCGTGGGGAATGGTTGTATATAGAGTTGAAAAATCGGAAGTTTTAATGCTGTTGATTTTGGTGAAAGGACCTAATTGAAAAATGACACACTCGCCTTTTCTTTCTAATTTCGATGATATTACTTTAAAATATTGAATAAATCTATGCTTATTTATTTGATGTTCCTTTTAAAGATATAGTATAGCATCATATGCAGATTTCAAAAAAATCAGATTCTTTACAAAATTTCAAAGTTCTTTTTCTCCGTAGCCGTTGCACTGATAATTAAACATTATGTAACAAGTAAAATGCGAAATTTTATACAATATTGCTATAATTCACGAAAACAGGAAATTAGAAGTTTGTCTTGACGATTTTCATAAATTATATTCAATGGTCGGTGCATTGTATCGTGTACATTTGTAGGATTTATAAAGAAAAAAATCAACCAGTAAACATGAAACAATATTGCCCTAACATTAATTTTCCATGAAAAATCTGTACATAGTATAAGAAAGATACGATGACTCAAGAAAAAAAAGAAGAAAAAAAACATTCAGTAAACATGATACAATATTGCCTAACATTAATTTCCATGAAAAATCTGTAGTATAAGAAAGATATTATGACTCATTTATCATGCTTATGACCAAATACTGCAGGAAAACGAAAAATAATATCGTCGAAAAAAATGTGGCTATGTGCCAAACGGTGCATGTGTATGATGAATAGATCGGGTTCGGGAAGCAGAAAAGGGGAAAGAAATCAACAAATCAATATTTTTTTTATATTCGCTATTTGAAATTGGTATTTGATTTAAAATTTTCATGATTTTTAATTCCTGATTCTTTGTTAATCAAACTTTTCATAATTCAATATTTAAATTTAAATATTTCAGATAATATTTCATTTTTCACATAATTTGTATACAGATATCTTTTCCTTCAATTAGTGACAGCGGTGTTCAAAGTGCGAATGAATTAAGGATTTCGACTTTCGTTCGAAGTGCTGTAAAAGGTAAGAAATCTTTTCTGACAATCGATTAAAAGGCAGTTTAAAAGTATTCCAACAAAATGGGTCGTAATAAAAGCAGAAATGACATAAAATTGCAGATCAATAAACAAACTACAATTAAATTGCCCTTTGCTGTCTTTGTTCATTCTGAGATGGGACCCGGCGGAATTTCACATAGTTTGTGGGCAACAACTAATTGACTGATATTCCGTCGAATATTTACCAACGTAGAAGCTAAATGTCAGCTTCTCAGAACCGTGCTTCATCGCCCAGCCTAAATATCCAACCACCCACACCCGCCCCACACGATGAATATTTAAAGTGAAAACCCGTAGGCCCTGGGGATTAGTTTAAAGATTTTCAGCAACGAAAGTTTTATTTTCTGAGAAATTATTTTAAAATATATTCATTTGGATGAAGTAAAAGTCTAAAGACCTTAAGATGTAAGAAGGAGAAAGTTGAGACGGTTTCATTTCGCATGTTGTGTATGTGTAGTTGATTACCTGTAAAATCATTCCTTTTTTGTTTCTATTAAACTAAACAAACTAAATCTTTAATTAATGAAAACTGTAACTCGATCATCAAATTGCTATATGTTACAAGTTAACTCCTGAAATGACATAGATAATTCGTTTGACTTTGGGCTGTGAAATAATTTCTCTATCACTTTATATGTTTCGTAGACTTCCATACAGTGCCTATTATGTCATGTTATGCTGCGAAATATTGTTTTGTTGTGTTTCATGGTGAATATAAGGCCTAGATAAATAAATTGTGTGTTTCCGGTTCCTCGACTGACCCTAGAATATAGGAGCCGACCCTGAACAATTTTTCTGCCAATATCAACTATTCCAGTTTTACTATTAGAAATCCTAATCTGAATTACTTCCCTGTAAAAAATGCATATCATATGCACATTAATCCAAAAATTTTGAAAGCTGGAAAAGGGCAGCATGCTTGCCAATAAAATGTTTAACTTAAATAAAATGTTTTCCCTACCTACCTACCCTATTTTTTCTCAGGCTGGAATAGGAAACACAGTATTTATTCATCTTGGCCTAATGAAGACATTTTTTAAGACTTGTTGTAGAAGTTGAAAAAGATTCCATAATTTGTGCTTGTTTTTGACAGTGATTAATGTTTTAATTGTCAGACTTTCACCAAGTTTCTCTCTATATTGACAAAAATATTCAGCTATTCAAGTCGGAGAAAAAGTAATAACTATAACCATGATAACTCTCTTAAGATTTGGAACTTCTATTTCTTTTTTCCACTTTGTTAACTTCAGACTTACATTTGTCGTTTTTGTTTGTAACAGAAGATAGATAACTCAATCTGACTATATTTTTCTTAGTGTTACAAAAGAACAATAACTCCTTATATTGACCAAGAATTGATTTTGAAGTGACCATGTACAAGTTCTAGTTCTACACTCCCTTGATTTGACAGATTGTAAGAAATCTTTCATTAAAATATCTTCACTCAGAGATAATGAGAATAATTAATAATACAGACGTGGTCACTGAAAGCTCTTCCAGATTGGGAGGAGGGATCCACTTTTATGATGGTAAGGGCACACAGTGTTCATTGAATTAAAAATATTTAATGAATTATTGCTTAGAGACATTAAAAAGATGTGTTAGTCAAAAACACAATCTTATAAGTTATAACTTATGCATAAAAAAGTTTTATATGAAACCTGTTATAGATGACATAAAATAATTATTCAACTTGCAATGTCTTTAAAATTTGGACCATCTAACAGAAGTGAAACCCTGTTGCAAACAGACCAGAATGCACATGTACTGAGTGAAATTGGTTATTTTCTGTTTACCTGTGAGAGTATTGATTGTTTACAAGTCTTTATCAACACATTGTGTCCTTGGTTAGTATCATATTCTTAGTGGATGTTTATACTATTGGGTCTCTTACCAGATGACCCACTCTGATGTCAATATTTGCTTTTTGAATGATAGTTACATACATATAATACAAATGTTCATTCGAATACTTTTAACTCTAAAAGCATGGTTACCGGTACTAGTGATTTTGAGCTTATTGAAAAAAATAGTGTATCCAAAAGTGTACCCCAGTCATGATGTCCTATCCTGAACAATTACATAAAAATTGGTAGACAATCCCCCTTCCCCCCCAATAAACTTACTTTATTAATAATTATTTGAACTTAAAATTCTTCATCTTCAGTCACATTCTACATGTTCTATGGATTTAAAAGAGGCCAATTAATTCACTATCATATCAAGCATGGACTAAAGGGTTGATGGCACATTATTGGATGGTGCGATGATGACGAAGTCCAAGGGCGATGATGATGTGACAGTGTAATAATGTAACACTGATGATGGGATGACATAGTGTGTTAATGGTACAATGGAATGATAGCGAACCATCACTTAATCATCATCATACCTGAATGTGACAGTCAAACCAATCCGGAAGTAGAATGCTATACTTCCTAGAAATATATCTCACCAATGCTACTGGCAGCCAGGGTCATAGGATTATCTAGAAATCTATCTCACCAATGCTAAAAGAAGCCAAGGTTATTGGACTTTCAGGATTAAGACCCTGGCATTTCTCATGTAGCATATAAAAAAGAGTACATTTACAATGTATTGTTCTCTGTATGTTTTTGTGATTAATTTTTAGATTAATTTTTGATCAACTCTTTGTTGGACATAATTAAATTCTGTTTTTGAAGAATACTAACAGAAAAAGAGCTTCAGGGTACGCTAAATACACTTTGATGATCTCAAGGTATTCTCATGTTGATTGACTTAATATCATGTTATGGTGAATATGAATTACAAGTCAGGGTATTTATTTAAGTCCCTCACTGTTTACCTTTCTTGTTCGCCAGAATGTACCGGAACTATTTGCACTCTCAACTACTTCTCCTCAGAAAGGCAAACCTCAAGCAAACTTGACAAAAACATTCCAAAATAAAAAGTCAAATTTGTTTTCAAAAAGTTCCATAACCTAGCCTTTTAAAATTTCTCTGAAGTATCATGATATATCATGAAATATGATACATCATGATATCCCCCCTCACAAATATGTAACCCTGTAAGTATCTACAAGAATTTAATACTGGTTATAGAAGGATACATGTAATATCTTTTAATAGGAGCTAATTGTTTCTTTAGCAGAATGGTGTCTGTTGAAAGACTTTCTGAATCTCTTGTCTGGGACTTTTTTTATCATTTATATTTGTAAAGGGAGTATTATTATCCAAGTTATTTCTGGAATTTGTTGTCTGGGACTATTTTCACTAGCTGTCGTCTGCTTATGACATGAAACCCAAGAGTCATTTATCTTGTCCTCTTAATATTGCTTTAAGTGAGTATAATGGGACTCTGATTTACCACAAGTCATCTGATATTAAGAAAAAAAATATTCTCATGGTGCTAATGATAGGAATTTTGCATAACTTAATTTTTTTTAACGGTAAAATTTTACACAGTGTTTGGATAGTATTAATGCTAGGTTTGTTAATTTTCTGTTAAAACAGGTGGGTGAATGAACTCTTGTGTATCAGTATTATAGAAACTTTTAATTTTCAATTATTAATGAAAATATTTGTTTGATATTGGCAATGAAAGCTAAATCCGAGTAACATTACTTTGAGGGCAATGGTCTGAGCTCTGTTTTCTTGATAAATGGTAAAATACGGAATATATAGGCTCTTACATTTTGAAACTACGGTTTACATGGTTTGATGGCCTTGATATTTAACATGACGATTTAGCTTACATTTAAATTTCATTTCACAGAAAAACAGAGATGACTCGATCTGCAGACAAGTCATATTTTCAGTAGTCTGAAATGTGATCCTACAAATAAAGATGAAATTTGTTGTCATTTTCTACAGACAAAGCCTCATCCTATCAGAGTTTGTGATAGTAGTGGCCGGGATTTACAAGGCATTGATTTTATTTATTTCTTAGAAGACTTTCACTACCTTGTTCTTTTTTATACAAAAATGTGTCATTGTTTTTAAATTTAGTTGGAAACACACTGATGTTTTGTAATGATTTTTTACCTTATACTGTAAATCACTTTTTATTCGCGAGAACTTTATTTTTGCGTAATTGCGCGAGACAGCGAGCATGTGAAAATTTCATCCTCGCGTATAGTATTATTCAGATTATACAGAGAAATTTTAAAAATTAGTGAAAATTATGTCTCGCTTATAAAGAGTCAATGACTATATATCTCGCGAAAATAAGGTGTCGCAATAATTTAGTGATCTACAGTATTTGTACAAAATCTCCATGTTTACCAGGTTAGAAAATAATGAGGGATAATTTGATATTTAGTAAGCAGGTGTAGTATATAAATGTTATAAGTCATCTGGTTCTGCTGTACTAAATATGAAAGTTCCACATCCTGAAGTGGGTTACTTTGCCATTTTCTTTAATTACTTGGAATTTTTAGCTCATCTGAGCAAGATTTTTTTTATCCATATCTCAAATTCTCTTTAAATGTGAATTTTAGTCTTCCTCTCTAGAACCACAGTGACGGTTGAAAAATGACAGATGCAGTGTACATGTTCTGAACAGTGTTTTTGCATGTTTACTTTGAGTCTTAGCTGGGTTACCTAGAACACCCCCAATTCCCCTTTTTTCATGAAGAAGGCAAAATAAGATCCATGTTTGTAGAATTATGTAAACTGTACACATAAATAACAAATTGCTTGTACCCTCCTCCTCATTTCATTAAAAAATAAATAGCAACACAAAATTTCTTGAAATTGTTTTATGAATCGGATTAGGAAACATGATAGTAAAATAAGAAAAAATCTTTGAACACCCCCTATTTCCTGTTTTTCCTGAAAATAAAAACAGATATTATTAAATTGCTTCGAAAATATTGTGATGTTGATAAATTAAATTCCTCATTCCTCAAGGTCATAGTTAGAGCTGAATTTCTTTCAAAATGCATTAATTTTTAAATTTTCTTAATTTTTTACTTTCATTAACAAGGGTGACAAAACATCTGAACACACAGAAGTACAGATATTTTATCTTTAGGATACCATAAAAGTATGAACTTCATATATTTTTATATTTAAAAATAGTAGAAGTCAGCCAGAGAGGTGGTCTACAGTTGAACTGTAGCAAATTTGACATTCCCTCAACAGAGCACTTGACATTATCTAACTGTCTTGTTAAAAAGTCAGGCTGCGCCAGACAAATTGAAGATGATTTTCATTTGTGTCTACAATTGTATTATGCAGCAGACACGATATATTTCCAGGATGCTTCGCTTTGACATTGCCTTGTGTGATTATTGGATTTCTGCATTGGTTGTGTTACTTCAGTGGCAGATAAATAATACTTCTGTGGAGGCCTTCGTCTTCTTGTGGTACAGTCCAGATTAAGAGTTCTTAAATGGGACTAAGACAAGTTTCTCTTTCTCTGTCATCTTTGTTGCTGTTTTGGCAGAGCAGGAAGTTGTAGGCTCGTACATTTAATGGGTTTCTAGGACATCTAATTCAATAAAGGCAAGTTTGATGAAGTATTTTCAGTCTACAAGTTTCCTCTGATCTGGTTTTTTGTCTATTTTGAAATTAAGTTTGAACAGAAATAATTGCATAAGTGTTACCTGGGAATGACCTGTGTGTACTTTCAGTCTATGTATTAGTTTTTATTTTCAACTGATCTATATGTATTATTTGACACCATCGGTAGTGATGAAGTTTAAACAAAAAAAAGAATTGTTTGAGCTGCTTGTTTGGGATGTTGTAACAATTTCACAAAGCATTAACACAATTGCAAAGTTAAAAACAAACATATTATCATTAATCAATTAATTGAAATTTATCTTAAGAAAGATCTCTAGTCAGTTTCTGACATACTGAAGTATTATTTTGGCTTATATTTGCAGATATGTCCATTACTGTGTTGAAATGTTAGGAACTATAAAATTTTATTTTTCTTTCCTGATTACAATCTAATTTATGACTTCTGTACAACTTGAATCTGAGTTAATTCTAGGAAGAACTCTATGATATATGAAGTCTTCACCAATTGTGAAATAAGATTTTTTAATTGATATAAAAAGAAAAGGAAAAAAAGTATTCCTTGTAGAGAATTTTCTGGCTTATGTTGTAATAAAGCTGTTAATTTGAATTTAATTGAGTGTAAATTTTGAGTGCATATGTAGCCTAAAATATATGATATAACTTCATATATACATGTAGTTAATACTACCTTTTTTTTAAAAGTATAATTCTAAGGAAGTTATTAAGTTGTTCATTGGAAGCAAATGAAGAAAGGGACAATCAGCATAAAAAAATGTTTAAGAATTTTGAAAGTAGAAGTAGGAAATAAGTATCATTAGAATAGATCTATCTTTAGTGCTGCATGAACAGCATGTGTTAATCTTCCATCAGTGATATTTAGCTTGTTAAAGGCTTATTACTGCTGGAAATAGGAAGTAATGGAATTTGGAATTGATTTAAATAATAAAAATTCTTTTTTTTATGTTAATAAGTTTTTATCAATCAGCTATTAATGTACATACGATCAAATATGCTTCTTCAGAGGTAATACATGGGAGACCTTGTAAACTTGTCACTTACTTAATACATGTGCCATATGATTGCAGCTTGTGTTAATATTAAATTGACATAAAATATTTAATATTGTTGACCTGGGGAATCTCTGTCTTTATGGAAAACATAACTTGATCTTGAACAATATCACAAGATCAGGAAAAAACTGTAGATTAATATAAATTATGATAAGTTGAAGGTATTCTATCCATCCAATAGACACGTGAGGTATAAGTAGCCTATTGGTGTTTTTCCTCATGTATTCACTTTTCTAGCTAAAGGTTATAATGGGCCATATGATTGGAGCCATTGGATTTTCTTGTGTTAATTTTTTTATAATTATTTTTACATGTTTATTAAAAGGAAAAGTATATGTAACATGTGTAATGAGTATTTTAATATTGTTAATATTGTTAATTGTTAATTATGTTCCCCAAACGAAGGTGGGGAACATATTGTTTTTACTCTGTTTCTTATTAGTATTATTATTATTATTTTTCTTCTTCTTCTTCCTGGAAAACATATGTAGGTAAAACCTTTTTAGGGTCATAGACATGTTATGTAGATTTGCGGAATCAAGGTCATTTTGCGCGCACGTGCTTGCAGAGCGCGCACGTGCAACACGTGAAATGACCAATATAATGGATATTGCCGTAACTTTTCTATTTTTTGATGAAATTTTTTGAAACTCATAATGTAAGGATACATTAGTAATATAGACAAGATGACATGGTCAAAATAGCAAGATCTCACGTGCATGCACGTGCGCTTCGCTCTGATTCAAAGTCTCAATATCTTTCTTGTTTTTTGACAAAATCCTTTGAAATTTTGAACATAGCCATGCATTAGGATATCCTACAACAAAATATATAGCAATTATCATAAAAACACGTGCATGCACGTGCGCTGCAATCTGATTGGCTGAAACTTTAAATAGCTATAACTCACGTGGTTTACAACCAAACGGGGTGGGATTTGGATCATAAAGGACTTCTATACCATGCACATGCATGCACGTGTACATGCGCTGCAATCTGATTGGCTTAAATTTAAGCAGCTACAACTCCCTTGGTTTACAACCAAACGGGGTAAGATTTAGCCATTGATGTAATGGACTTCTACAAGATGGTATAGTCACCATGCTCATGTATGCACGTTCGTGCACGTGCAAAGAGTAAAATAACAAATACACTCAAATGAGCGTATTTTTTAATACTTTTGGATTAAATACTTTAATATTTAGTATATCAAAATATATAGATTGTGTAGACAAGATGATATAGTCATTACGCACATGCATTCACATGCGCAAGCGTGCAATGCTTAAATTTGAATGAACTTGGTACACTTCTGGGTAAACGTTGTTAAAGTCTTAAATGCATAGAGTTTATCCTTTAATGAAGCCTTGTTAATATTGTTAATTGTTAATTAATATTGTTAATTTCTTGTTTTTTTAGGTGAGCTATGAGGAAAAATAAGCTACCAATCAGGTATGTGCTAATGAGTGGTAAAACACGCTACAGTTATATATAGTTATAAATATTGTGAAAAAAAAGTTATTGCTAAAGGTCAAATATCGGGTTTGAAAAAAAATTGGTCAACAATGGAAACTTATTAAAAATATTAATACTTGTACTACTATTGCTTTTTTTTTCAGTCAATACAATGATTTAGACTCCTGAGGAGTAAAATATTTTTGAGCCTGTTGTATTGACAGTAACAATTGTTTTGTTATCAATTAGTCTGGTACAGGTGAAATAAGCTTTCTGAAACTATTTGTAATGATTTGAAATTTCCCAAGTTCAGACTGCCAAATTACATCTGCATATATCCTTGATATTCAAGATAACAGTCCTTAATGAGATAACAAAGTTCAATTGTATATCTATTGTTTTTTTTACACTAGAGAATCCTTAAATATGAGGCATATGATATTGAATATTTTATTATTTATTTACCAGATAATGCAGGAACTTTTCTAGAAAATGGGATGCATTTTCACAAAACCCGAAAGGAATGGCAGACACAGAAAAATTTTCCGGGTGTACAATGTTGATGAACATGGTGAAGAATTGAATCATGGGAAAATTGAAGTGACGGATTCGGACCTGATTCTGTACCATCGGCAGAAGGAGATCCGCTGGCCGCTTCGATGTCTGAGGCGGTACGGATGGGAAGAGGAACTATTCTCCTTTGAAAGTGGCCGAAGATGTGCGACAGGACCAGGGATATTTGCTTTCAAGTGTCAGAGAGCTGAGGTACTGTTTAACACTGTACAGGAATCCATTCGTAGGGCAGGACAAAGTGAGCAGAATGTGCATCACGTGGAAAATACTCATAACAATAGTCGACCCCCATCCATGATTGAAATCCCAGACTTTCAGAACAGGAATGGCAACCATTCAAACGGAAATCCGCACCTACCCCAAATGAGCATGGAAAATTACGTAAACCAGGTAACCGTGGATAGTAGGAGCCAGTATGCCAATACTATGCCCCCTGCTAACGCCACTCAGAGTATATTTGATATTCTTCATATGGACGTTCCACAACCAAGCCAGCCTGTACCTCAGCTGAACAGTATCAATTACACAGATCTAGTGTTCACATCCAGTGACGACAGTTTGTGTAATAATGACAATAGTCCGGAGCCGGAAGAGGGTTCGCCTGTGAACACAGAGGACGTCTTTTTAGATGACAATGTTCAAAACTATGTGAATGTTCAGCCAGATAAGCAGCCCGCTAGACCTCCACCCCCTGTTCTGACCCGTAGAGATACCAATGGAATGACTAATTATAGTAATCAGTCTAGTCTGACCACAATGGACCAATCAGGTTGTCTGTACATAACGGTGGACACGGGGTCAGTTTCTGCCCCTGTGGCCCCGGCGCCACCTGCTCCTGTTAGAGAGCAGCCCCCCACGTACGCTGTGATAGACATAGCTAAGTCAGAAGCCCTACAGAATACACAGAGAGACAGGGTCAGTAGTCGATGGGAGGAAAACGATAACTGCAGTCGTAAAACGCGGCACAATAGCACGTTCGACTGATCGTCATTCAGTTCAACATGGAGGAATTGAGAGGATCCAATACCAAGGGTAATTGTTTGTAGTCATAAGTGATATTAACCATTTTGCCATCCAAAAAGGAAAATTGTATATTCGTCAAATTTAGTATCTGAATTTTATGTTACAATACAATGTTTTTTGTTTCATTTCTCCATAAATATTGGCCAATTTATTTGTTTAAAACAAAGGTTGTTGATCATATAGTTACACTGTCAAATGTTTTTTTTTTGACAAGTCTTTCAAAATGAGACATGAATAAAGATTTATATGTGTATATTTATGCTTTCATGAGAGAGATTTACATAATTTGCTGATTTTGTCTTTAGTGTTATTTTTTTAATTTATACATTAAGGTTGTATAATATAATTATTAACACTTTCCTTTGTCTTTTCATGACTTTTATATTTTTATTTAATTGGGAGAAAAGTTCTTTTTGGTAGGTGGCCAGCTGTGCTGTGACATGTTTTATTAGTATACCGTATGTTTTTTATTTAATTTTGTATATATATATTAAATTGTATTATTTGTAATAGCTTCTTTAGTTAGCATTTTAAAATCGCTAAAATTACTTCTCACTAAAAATAAAACACCAGATTTTAGGTAGAAATCGCTAAATTTGCGTCTCGTTAAAAGTTCCACTTATACGGTATATATTTTAAAAAATATGCTTGAGTTTAAATAAGCTATGTGTTACTAAATGAGAACTTGATTTTGTGATCAATTCTCTTGTTTTAGACTTCTTATACAGACACAAAAATGATTTAAATTTCCCAATTTATTTTTCATGCACTTTCTGGTAATTTAGAATCCTATTTGTTTAATTTTCAGCAAAATAAGTGGGTCAAACAGTATTTTAAAGAATGTTTTCATGTAGAACAAGGCTACAAACTGTGAAATTAACTAATTTATAAAAAATATTCTCATTTAGTATAAATTAGTTTTGTTCACATCACACCCTTTGGACAGAGGGAGGATAGCTACACTGTTAGCCTTGTGGCACTCAGATGGTTGATTCGTTCCAGTAATAATAAAAAGAAGCATTATTATTTTGTGTTGTTAAAAGTTCTGTCCAAGTTCTGTCTTTTTTTATGCCATTGGAGCAATATTGATGTCTTTCATAGCTCTTTTGACATTTTCATGTACATGATTTATAAGCATGTTGTTTAAGTGTTTAATTTTCTGTGTATGTGGGACTTATTGCCAAAATTTTAAAAAATACTAAGCATTAAACCTTAATTTTGAACCTATTGGTAATATAATTAAAACATAGAAATGTAGTGCCTTTGAAACATTTTAATAATAATTTTATTTCTCAAATTCTAAAAAAAAAAAAAAAATCCTAAAGACTTTATATTTTGTTCTTAAAATATTAGCCACTTGTTAAATCTGCAATTATGACTGTTCTTCTTGTTTTTTTTTTTTTGAGGCAAAAAAAAACTTTTTATTGCTAATTTTTTTAGATGCAGTAACACTTCCTATGTAATGAAATCATCATTTTTACACTGAACTCAAATCTATGTAAATAAATGTAGCATGTACATATTTTGTGTTGAAACCACATTGGGCAATTTGTAGCTTGTCTAACTTGAAGTCACTCTAACTGTAAGACTTTTTCCCCTGCTTACTCAAAACGTAGAATGTGTTGGGATAACGTAAAACTCTTGTTAATTTTTATCTTTAAAAATGTCAGTTAATCTGCGTAATGTGACAGGTATTGCTTATTTAGTTTCCAGTGTAGATTTGCTCAAGGGAAACCAAACCACTCACTTTGGAATCATCATTGTTCGTGGGGGACCACTGTTCCTGGTTTTCGTGGGTCACCCTTATCCACGAATTTCATCCCCAAGAAAAATTAGGCCATTCCAAGTTTATTTTATGTTAAGCATCCAAGGACAGATTGGTTTTGAGGTTCTAAAATTAAAAACAAACACAAATACAAATCTTTGAAACATAACTTGCTCTCCTGAGACAAGCATCTCTTTTGTTTAAGGTTATGTACCAAAAGAATTTTTTGTTTCAAAAGATAGTGGTTAACTGAAGTTACAATGTGAGGAGAATAGTCAAATGATGATGAGATACTGTATAACGAGTTATTTTAGCGGGATGCTGATTTTGGCCTTTTTTTGGCATTTTGATGGCAGTACGCTAAAATTTTAATCGCTAAAACAGTCAGTGCTCATCTAAGTCTTTATCCGCAAAGAGCTGAACCACTGTTTTTCGCTAAAATAAATTGCACTAGAATTATTGGCATACCTTTGAGCAAACAAAACGTCAAAATTTACACCCGCCAAGAAAATGCGCTATAAGGTTTTGTAGAGTTGTGATTATAATGTTGTGTTTTTCTCTTCTGGTAGGTTTTCAGGTTTTCTGGTAGGTTTTCAGCTTTAGGTTAGATGCTATACAAAAATCAAAACTGGAATGGCCTTAATATTTAGTCAATATACTTCTGTATGAAAGGAATCCTTTTAAATTATGTCCCCATGAACCAACAAAATTTTGCTAGCCCACAAACATAATGACCCCATATGAATTAAAATGATCCACTTGCTGTACCACTAGTAGAAGAGAGCGTAATGCATGTAATTGATATAAATTTTATATACAGGTATAATGAATATTAAAGCTTGACTGAGGTAGGAAAGCCAAGTGAAATAGAGCTCAATTAATGATTAATGATGCTTGTTTTCCTATGAGTCCCATCAAGTTAAATTTTATGCTTAAATTCAGTGAGGTAGATACATGTATTCTATAAATTCTCAATTATTAAATATTTACCCTTGTTTTTATATCAAAAGTTTGGTCTCATCTGAACATCACGTACGTGGCAGTTTCTGTAATTAAAAGCCATGCTTCATTTTGCTATGATGTCTTTTCTCTTTTTGATGTCTCAGATGGGACAAATAAAATTGTTGGTTTCAATTTTAGGTATGTAATTAACCCTTAATATTTCATAAAAGGATTCAGTGATTTTCCCCTACCTTTGTGTGTTTTTTTTTCTCTCTCTTTGATAAACATATAATAAATAAAAGATCATAGGCATTAAATAGCACTTTTGGGCTTGCAGGGGTAATATTTTCCCTTTAATATTTTTCATATTTTTCTTTCTCTGGTATTTTATAGAATTGATTTTTGTGGGGTTTTTTTCTCATGCAGAACGTTGTCAATTTAAAATATCCATGTTTTTTTTATCATAGTTTTTTTTTTCTTTTTAATTATAAAATTTTAATTTTTCAAACGGCAATCAAAGTTTTCATCAAAAGGGCTTTAAGCAAGAGAACTAGGGATCCCCAGCATAATTCTGAACCCCTCCCCCAAAATGGAACACTATGCCAACTTTAAATTTTAGCAAAATTAGCTTCAGGTTGATTCTAAGCTCTTGCTCTATCTTTTTTTGAATGCTTTGGAGAACCTTTATATATATATATATTTTTTAAAAATCTTTTTTTCAATTTTACCTCTGAAGGGCAAAAAATTACCAGAAGTTTTACATTTTAAGGATACATACCACAAACAAATTTTATCTCCAAAACAGAAGAGTTACAATATCATTTTTTTCAATACTTCTTTCAATGGAAGTATAATTAAGAAATTTTAATTGTGTAAAATGTTAAAATTCTGAAAATGTCCCAAGAAACTTTGCAGTAAGAAAAACTTAATATATTTCTAAAACTTTTTACAAAAATGTATTGAGCATTTTCGCACTTTTCACCAAATTATGTGGCATTGCCAAACACTATGCTGTTAAACTAAACAAAATTCACTTATAAAGTGAGAGAGGCACATATATATTTTTTCAGAAATATTTAATTTTTTTTAGAAAAAAGTTTGTGTTATTTATCCTTAAGCCGTTGTTAGTATGATTGAGAGAGATTGGGTGTGCTGGAATTCAAAGTGCTCAATGTGGTTTCTATAAATTTCTCTGTGTATAATTATGATTTCTTGCAATAACTGAATGTTTATCTGTTGTAAAATGTTGCTGGATACATTTGTTAATATTACCAATTTTTCCAACAAATGTTAATATCCGATGATACTTTTTTTTTTATTTGTTTGTTTTGATCATATCCATGTCTTTATAAAAGCACATTAAGCTTGCTGAACAAAATATGTTATACTGAGGTAATATTAAAAAATTATTTTAATTTTCAGTTGTTAGGGTATGTTAAGTTGCTGATGTAACTATTTTGTATGTACCCCTAATTCTCATTCAGAGAACATTACACTTTACAGTATACTGCAATTCTGATGATTCACATTTTTTTTTAGTTGTCTACCTACTTCAAAATATAAAGGTTCTTAAACAACCGTAAATTTAGCTCCACTTTTTCTCAGTCATACAGATAAAGTGGTCCATTTCCATAAATGTAGTTGTAAGGCTAGTCATTGATTATCTAGTTAGCATGGAATTATGGCCTGCACTTTTACTTTAGAATTCTAGTTTCCTTTAACTGATAATGACCTTGACCTTGTATTTTTCTTCCCATTGTTTATTTTATTTTGATTATTTTATATTATGATGGGGTTCTCCAATAGAAAATGAAACATGTCTGTCAATAATTAATAACCCCCTGCATTTTGACACTGATGTTGGACATTTGAAAACAGTGATATTATTCTTTATTTCTTTACTATATTGATTCTTTTGTTCTGTCAATCCTGCAGATGGTATATAGACAGTGTGGTAAATTATATTGATCCCTTCTGTCGAGTTAGGAAAATTAGGAGAATGGCCACTGTATCTGTCCGAGTCACAGATGGACAGCCAAGATAGGAACAGGGATTCAGGTTCTGTGGGCAGGGATTCAGGTTCTTAGGGAGAGGGATCATGGAGTTGTAACTTCTTGACATTTTTTTTCAATGACAAACTTTTCAAGTATTATTTGATTGTAAGATAAATGAAGGTATTTTCATTGCAAGAGTGAAACAATTTATAAAAAATAATCCATCCTTTTTAAACAAATAAATATAATACTCATGTTGTTAAAATGGTGACAATTTTAATTTACATAATAGATCCTCAGTAAAGCATGGCTGACAATTATCTGATCACATCACTGCATTATGTGAATCATTTCATGTGAATTTATCCCTAAAGTTTTCCATAATGTTAAAAATGCATGGATCAAAAGATTTTTTTATCCGAAACTTTGAAAAAGGGTATTTCTTTTACAACAGAAATACTAAAAATATTTTGTTTTTTTCGCATTTGAATTGTGGTGTGTCCCAACTCCCAAAAGGGGCTTTTTTTATCTTAATTAAAGGGAATTTTAAGTTAGTGAATAGAAATAGTTTTTTCTTCAACTTTCTGTTTTAATTTGTTTAACAGCTGCATGCAAGTATTAGCAGCATATGGTGTAACTTCCATTTTTTTCCACAGTAGAGCTATTTTAGGACTTTGACGTAAGATGTAATAAAACAAATTCAACGCAATCAACAAAACATGATATTCCATACTGGCATATAAAATA